GTTTTGTTTTAAAGATACACAAAAATTAAAATTTGTGCTAATCACTGATTAAGCTAATCAGTTATACAGAACAGACATCAGGAGTGTCAATTACCATCCAACAAACTTTCCTGTTGTTCTCATGTTTAACAATACACCACAGAAAACTAGCTATATATAGGAGTCACATGAAACTGAAACTGCAATTGGTGTGCTAATCACATCAATGGAGCCAAATGCTTCTGAGTTTGTTAGCAAGCTCCGCCCACCTCACACGTCGCTTCCGGTAACATACTCCGCCCTCCTCTCTCCGGATTGGCTCGGCGGAAACACCCGAGTGAAGGTGTGTTTTAGCTCAGAAGGTGTTTTTAGTTCCCAGACTAACACACAGGACTAAAACACAGTCAGGCAAAAGTGGGAATATATTCAATTTCACAAGTACTTGATATAGAGTAAATAAAGTAGAGGTATATTAATATTATATAACTACAGATTTAACTGTTGTATGCATTTGACTGGTTTTTTATTAATACAAATTGATGAAAATTGGTCTCTATTAATTATTATCAGTTCAAGAATTAATAAAATGATAAAACATTTAAGCTAATGTTAATAAAATTAATTCATACTAGTGGATCACATCCATAGTAGTAAGTAGCTTATACTTAGCCTGCTTGAAATTCATAAGCAAGTCAGATATGTGTCAAGTGGTTTAATTTCGTTAAAGCTGACATTACAGTGCATTGCAATGAATATGACGCTGTCTGTTTTGACATCAAGTTATCACGAGATTGACAAATATGTGGGTTAATTTCAACTTTTATTTAAAGACCTAAAAAATTATGCAATATCCAAAATTGCTAATTTAAATACTGTAATGCTAATCATTTGTAATAATTTCATTGAATTTCAAAAGAAAAATAGTTCAGTAATTATGCATATTGTATAGAATGTTTTATATATATACATTGTAAATTATTTGTACAAGTACGGAAATAGCATACAGTATTAGTTGATATATTTTCTAATGTTCCCAATTTCGAATTATTTCAACTTTCATGCATGACCATCAATTCTTTACACATGTACATGTTTATCATCAAGAAAAGACAAAATGTAAGTCTGTGTCCTATTCCATTTGCGTTTCACAAATAAAATACAGTTAAACCTCAATATAATGCCCCTCATTTACTGCCAACATATTTCAATGTCCCTTCTTCTTGTTTACTGAAGAGTTCCTTTATATCTTTCCCTTAATTTATCACCAAACCCCTTTACAACGCCAAAATTTCTCTAGACAAATGTCGGCAGCATAACAAGGTTTTGCTGTGTGTGTAAATCGGTGTCTGAATTCTAGTACAATGTCTAATCAAGATGTTGGATGGAAGAATGGGCAATCAGATGTAAGGGCCGACGAAAATAGCAAACACTTCAAGCTCTCTGTGGAAGATCCTGATTCTCGTACAGAATGTTGCGAGGTCATAAAAGTTTAATTTTTATACATTGTCTCTTGGACTAGGAGTAGGACTGGTGTAGATTTCAAACTGAAAGCATCGATATATTTTACTCATCTTGTCTGAGTTTGGATTAATGGAACTTGTAAAAATCTCTCACTTATTTCCTACGGTATTTTAACTCATTCATCCCTGAAGACACGTTTTAACTCTTACAATTCAAAGGTTGGAATAGTTCATAAAGAAATTTCAGGGGTGAATGAGCTAAACAAAAAGAAATGACACTAAAATAGCTGATAGCTGTACATGGCACTAAGACTGCATATACAAATGTACCTATGTAAACTTATCAGGGCTTTCAGTTGACCTTTGACCTTTAGCAATTTCAAAAGTCAAATAACATTTTCTGTAACATTTGGAGAGTCAAAACACCTGTCAGATAGACAAGTCCTTTCAAAACCAAGAGTCAAAAACATATTTGCATGGGTCGGTTGAAAGCCTTGCTTATACAGCATTTCATTGATTTAGTTTCCAGTCATCTATAACACACATGATTGTGGTATATAATATAGTAGGACTTTATTGACGTTTTAACAGCAGTTAATAACACGCTAGTTTGTCCTGTATCTAAGTTTAGCACACACGATATAAGAACATTTAATCTGTTCCAACTATAAAGAAAGCACTGCTCCAATAATAAAGTGATATTTGTAGAAGAACATAATAGTCAGTTAAACACATACTTGTACACTGTACTGGCGAACAACTACAGTATATATTGCTAATTGTTTCATGGTTGATGGTTGGGATATAAATACATGTACTTAATTGTGTCGCAGTGCCACTGTGCATGATAGCACGCCTCAACTAATTGGGCTTATCAGTGCATAGGTGTTAGTTGGGTTCACCCGTCACTTAAACCATTAGTACAATTACACATTAGATACAGAAGTTGTGGATTGTGATTCCTTCAAAAACTCTATGAAATATGATCAGTACCAGGTATTATATGGACATGTACTATTACTTTTGATGGGACAGTGTCAGATATTGTCTCCAAAACTTTACAATTTTTAAGTTAATTATCATTCCTTATTCCTGATGTATTCATTTGATTATACATGTACTTATTTTAAATTTCTTTTTTTTGTTTTTCACTTAGGGTTGCACACCTTGGAGAATATGTATAATTTGGCAAGCAACTGGTATTAAAATCATTGTCAAAGTAAAGAATAAGCACATCAATCCCAAAATAGTTTTAAGGAACATGTAATACGAAAGTTTCATTTGTTTATAAAATATTACTAATTAGAGCCAACTTTAGACTCCTATCCTCAGACAAATTTTAGTGCATGTGGCAATCAAAAATTGAAAGAAGGGCCATAACTCTGTATATATATATGTATCAGGTCATGATACCAGATTTCTTTATTTGACACTCTATCATTCAAAGAGGTAATCACACACCAAATTTGTTAAATGAAGGTGGCAAAGCATGAGCTATGCCACAGAAAAAAGTGTTAAATGCACTGCAATTGACCACCTAAAGTCACATTTGAACCTTACCATATCATTGACTGGCCAAGTCAAGTTTAAAAATGTAGGGCTAAGTGAATTAAATCTCTGGATCCTGCAGTACAAGACTTTCTTGCTGGACACTCTTCCCAAGCGCCAAAGAAAAATTTCCTCTCAACAAAGCAAGTAGAGCAACTTTATACAATGCACATCCTTTATACTACAACCCTCTTTTACTGAGTCTTAGCCCTCAAAGACAACCACAACATAGATTCTTTTGCTCCTCGCCAAGGGTTCTCTATTAACTTGAATGGTCAGACTTCCACAGAGCTAAAGGGAATTCCTCTCTAGCCAAATCTAGTAAGTATATAAAGTGACTTTGACACTATATGTACAATGCACATCCTTTACACCCTGCAGTAGTCTCCATGGGGACTACATGCGCAACTGCCATTCCCCATTTCAAGCAGTTTAACAGTGTGAGTTGTTACAGGTCTAGAAAAACCATGATATGATGATAAACATGCAGTTGTGCATTATATATAATACATGTTTTGGAGATGTATCTCATAATTTGGGACCACCAAAATGTGCCATCCTCTTCAGTTGACTGCAGCATCTTATATATATCTATGACAACATAAACACAGATATACATGTATATATACATGAGGTGTGTACAAGTGTTGAAAACTAATTCCAACTTTTGTAAATGGCAGTTAAGCTGCTCCAATATGTTTTTTTAGTAGTACTCTTGCTTAGCATAATCATGTGTGGCATACAGAAAATATACCCAGGACCTATCCATGTTTTATCACACTTGAGTATAATGTCCGTTACAAACTGCTATAATTTCATTAAATCGACCAAATCAAACAATCCATGAAAACAGTAGCATAAATCACAAATAATAAACATGGAAATATTTCTGGGATGAAATAGATTTTTTTGAAGTTTTGTCTTTTTCAGGGTCAAATATCTAGACTTCATTGAACGAGTAAGGAATGTACAGTACAGAAACCATATTGAGTTGGTCGTCTGTGACTAGGAATTGAAGTTCACTTGATTAAAGCGTCTGTCTAAAAGTCTGAAGTTATGGGTTCGAATCCCAGTCTTGCAATTATATTTTCCTTTCCAGTTTAAAACAGTGAAATCACTGTGACATAATTACTGTTCTCACTCTTCCAAAGAACAGGGTATGAAAACTTCTGAAATGGTTTGCGATTAGAAATGACCTCCTGTGGTTTTTTTGCAAAAAAAGACATCAAAGTTAGGGTTAAAATCTGTCATAAATTACAAATTCTGACCCCTTTATATAGCAAGCCTCTAACATTCTGAAGGTCAAAAGCCATTGCAGGAGGTTATATAATACCATTTGGTGGTAATCTGAAACCCTGGACCACTTATGTTAGTTTTATGAAACCTGTATTGTATACCAAACTTCCTTCAACTGCATGGTTGCTATATCTACATTAGTAATAGTCAATGAATGTAAATAATATGGAGATAATTTGGCAGCATACTTCACAAAGGCATGCTTTCAACTATCGGCTAAAAATGTATCAACAGAGAAAAATTCACCGGGAGAAAAACTAAAAAGTATTCTGGGAGAAATTATTTTATTTCGAACATAGAGGTCACTGACAAATCATTCACCATCGAATTCACGATATTTGAAAATACCACTGTCCAAATTTCTATAAGTCTGTTTCTATTTATACTTTATACAGGAAGTATCCAACAGATTATGTAAATAATCTGAAAGCTCACAGGCTCCTGTCCAGTGTCTGAAGTTTGTTTACATAGTTTGGTGATCTAGATAGTCTGGTTAGGATATCGACGGTAAGATACCAACGTATGACCAGACGATGCTACTTTGAACTATGAAGCATTTAGTGAATTTAATGCTTCATAACAGCATTATATTTAGACAAACCTATATGTATATAAGCGTAAACTTATGACAGATACTTCATTTGCAATCAACATCAATATGATCCGAGTTCGACATCCCCCCCCCCCCCCCCCCCCCCCCCCCCCNCATTAACTTACTGTCTTTCTCATGGTCATATCCTACCACGACAAAGTAGTCGGCCAAGCGAGACATCGCACAAAGTACCGGGAAATCGCTTCGTGGCTTCCCGATTCCATTACACAGTCGCCATCTTGTTTTTCCAATAACTGTCAGCACAGCTGCCGCACGTTATTCACATTTCCGGAATAATTGGACAAAGGGAAACAACCCGTACATCGATTCGAATTCTGATTGTGTGGCGAGCTCTCGAGAAAGAGTTTATTGATAAACATGCTCTTTTGACGTTTTTGTTCATTATATCAAAGGTAACTTTACTGTATGATAAATTTTGAATAAGGATGCTTCCGCGGATCAACTTGAAAATAAATATTGCATGTTAGCCTACTTTCATTATAAATTTCGTCGACGTACGACGTTTTTTTCTGGATTTCTGACATGTTTTCTTAAAGTCGCTGAAAATAAAACTATACCCAAATTTAATTTAAAAGTATTATTCGATCCATTTTCTGACCGTGTACCAACTTGTGGTAGCGTATATACATGTGTATTTCAATCAAGAAAATGTTTATTTGTTTGCTTTTGGTTTTTTTAACCCCAAAAGATAAAAAGAAATGCACTTATAATTACTATATTACGATACTTTTCTTGTAAAAGTCATGAGAAGATAAGGTTCCAGTGAAGAAATATAAGCCAGAGACGTATGGCTTTATATGTCTCTGTATAAACCAACTAGGTTTTTCATATATTTCTTGATTCAATTAAAAGTTTTTTTCAGTCCTCCAAGTCGAAATCGCGGCAGATATTGGAGATATTGAGATGAAAATAATAAACTAAAAAAATCGGGAATGATTAAAAATAAATTCTCAGTCAAAATGGCAACCGTGTTTATTTTACTTTTGTTTCCCGCACTGCATGGACGACGCCGCAGACCGAACGCTAAAAATTAAATACACAAAAAAGAATTGGAAATTGAATTAATAAGTAACACTCTAAAACTGTCTCAGATATCTCGGGAGGGGTTTAGAATTTTAGGGGGCGGGGTGGGGGAGGGCATATTCGGGGCGAGTATATACAGATCATGGACACTATACCATTAAATTAATGTTGGACCCTCACTTTCCAGAATTCCTTTATTTGCAGATGGATGTTTTTAAAAATGTATTTATGGTGTGAGGGTAGAAGTATATAATGCATTTTGGGATGAAGTGGGAGTGAGATCTGCGATATATCGCACTGAAGGCGTGAGCGAACTTGAAGAGATTTCAGACTAAGGAAGGAGAGTGAGGGGATATAGGGGACTGAGGTGGACCACCCGGAGGTAAGATTTAGTGGAGGAATTATTTGATGTAAGTGCGCAGGGACAGGATAATTTGTTATAGTAGTCGATGTTTGGACATAAAACCAGTTTAAATCCAAACATCGCTGCCACAATCATTATTTTTTTAAGTTCCTGTGTGTGAGTTTGGCCGCCGGGATAAGAGGGAGGAGAAAATAAAAAGAGTCGTGGACAAAATGCTGAGTGGTATCAAAATCCGGGGAGATAAAGGTATTCAATAGGTCTGATGAAAGCAATATCAAGAACGTTTACAAAAAATATGACTCGTCTTTTCAAGTTAGAAATTTGACGCCTCCTTTCGAACCTTGTGGATCGGCGACATGGGTAACGCCGTCTTTCAGCTCAATCCAGGCTGGGCGGAAATGATGGAGTACAAACGGAATTCGATTTTATTTAAACCAATTCAAAGTATAAATGAATTTCAATTCTATCAACATCCGAATGCGAAATCTTTAGATTATCGCCACCTTAATACTGTGCTACTTTTCCCATACAACGTGACGTCATTGTAATTATGACGTCATAATTCAACGGTATCACAAGCGAGCCAAAAGGATTGCTGTTTGGTTGAATGAAAAACTTTCAATCGCAAAGATTATGGACCTTACATAGGCATAAGATTCAGTCGTCATGGACCGATTGTCACTGTCAAGACGTCCAAAAATAGCTGAGAAGGAAAAATGCCTACCGGCAGGGGACGGTTTGCCATCTTGGGCAACTCTACCACTGGATGCCAAATTTCCAATGGTCCCAAATCCAAAAGGGTCGATGGTGTTTTGTTCCACCAATCTCTGTAAAACGGTAAGGAATCAATTGTCAAACCATAATGGTAGATTATAATTTACTCTATGCTAGGCAAGTGCTAGTTTATGTTTTTTAATGTTATTAGCTGGGGTTCGGGTTTGGATGGGGCATTTTTTCGGCCGGTTGAGTTGTTAGGCCCACTGCCATTGTCCCCGATATTATTTAGTCTTTGTCCGATGACAATAACATTAGGCTTAGGCAGATTCGGAAAACAGGCTGTAAAGATGTTTAATATAATATTTCATTAAAGAGTTGTATTTGATTGATATGAAATGTTACATGGATATCGACGGTGAGAGAAAGCGACGTGCCAATGGTCTGTTGCGTTACATTATTTTCAATTCGGTTCTATGATATCTTGCCATTTTCAAACTATAATTTTTCAAACTCCGATTTTCGTCCGATTTTTATTTTCAAGAAAGTTGGCGCATAGCTAGAAATTTATCGCGCGCATCTTTTGTTTAACCGACCGTTATTTATATGTTAAATTATGGCGAGTTAAAAGTGATCAAAAATATTTTTTACGGCAAAATTTCAAGTTGCGTCCTTTGGAAATAACGTTTTAACGAAATGAAAAGATAATATTCTCAAAATCAGAGCCTTATAGACGAAGATGGGGAGATTACTATAAACAACATTGTACTGTATAAGACCTCTATTCTTAAAAATGTGAACTAGGTATCAAATTTGCTTTTCAAACGAAGTAATGGAAATTTCAAACGACTTAACTTGAACGACGACAGAAGCATATATCATGTTCATTTCGTACTAAAGTCAGATGTCTTTTTTGCTTCCTCCAATTTCACAGAAACACAAATCCTCGCGTCACTATGATTTTGACCTCAGTGACCCCTATTGTCACGTGCTTTCAAACGATTACCACCCTCTTCATGACCGCCACCTCCGGAACCACTTCAACCAGCCCCAGATGCGGCGTCACCTGCTGAAGAATGACTTCCTGACAGACGATAACAAGGTTGTGTGCACCCTGAAGGAGTTCAACAGGTACCGCCAGTACCTCAGGAGGGTCTGCTTCATGGAACTGGCAAGGGAGCAGAGAATCGAGGTAAACCCGCATTTGTAAAGGAAACTGTTTTATAGAAACCACATGCATCGGTAAATCCTCTCCATTCTGTGTTTAACCGTTGTTCGTCAATTTCTACGGACTACCAAAGCTCCATCCATTCTTTCCCACTTCTTTTGGAAACACTTTTTAAAAAAACACACTAAAAGGGGCGATAACTACGACCTTTTAAATCAGATGATTTATGTATGGCAGATTTAACCGTCCATAGACTCACGGACGCCTTCTAGCTTTGCGCTTAGCTAGAGGTTAATTTCCCTTTAGGCCAAAAAAAGGTGTCTGTTTAGGGTTCCCGACCGACCCTAGCTTTTTACCCCCGACCCAAAACTTTTTGATGATTTTTTTTTTTTTTTTTTTTTTAAACCTGCTGATTTTCGAATTTTAGAAGGTATCCTTGCCTTTCAAAATGGCTTCCAGCTCCGTATTGGCGCTAAATGTTATCATATGGATCACAATTTGCCTCCAAACGAACCTTGTTTATGTAATTCTTTGTTTTACATACGATAGTAGGGTGTTTTACATACGATAGTAGGGTGTTTTACATACGGTAGTAGGGTCATAATCACATGACCAAAAATATATAAAAAATAAAAATAAAAAAAATCCGACCTACCTACCCTAGTTTTTTTGCCAATGCAACCCTAAACAGACTTTATATATATTTTGGCCTTAGCTCAGTGGTAGAGCGTCCGACTAGGAAATCTGGGGTCGATGGTTCGATCCCCGGTTAAAGCACACTAGGCCTACTCTCTTTCCTGTTACACATGTAGTACCTGTTCCAGTCAGTGAATACCCATTTATTTTAAAACAAATGAACGGTAACATCTTAGCGTAGTACATGTAATTTGAATGTGATATCACTCATTCAAAACGTGACATCAACGAATCAAATATCAAAAATTGGTGACATTTCCTATTCAAATCAGTGTTATCAACGTTTTACTTTCCAAACCGATTTGGAGATATAATGGTATCACCTTTTGAATATTTCATTGAAACAATTTCTCTAAAGAAATATTTCTCTGATAAGCGGGCGGGGAATAGGGATAATGCGCGATCCACCACAAATTACAAATGAATAAATATCACCATTGAAATTAAAATTATAAAGGCACTACATAGATTACTCATCGGCAGAACTTACATGAAATCGATTGACAGTCAACTCGTAATAAATAATATTATGTAAGGTGACAGTACCCAAATCGGATCACTAAACCATCATTTTATTAAATCATTGAAAATCTGAGGAGAAATTATATTCATATGTGGTTGTATCAAAAATAGAATATCAATGGGTGTTCTCCCAAACAAAATTAGCACCCGGGGCTCACTTGAGATATTTATAGAACGCTCCAAAGTCACCAATCAGCGTCTCCGGTTTTTGCGAATGTCGGTACCCAAATCGGATCACGGCTTGAATTTTGCAGTATCGTACGCTTCGAATGAATATTTTTTGTCAGCATATTAACATTTTATGATGACCTTTAGAATTTATATGACAAAAAGTATTTCTATAGTGTGAATTTATTCCTATATTCCAAAACAGAGTGCATAGTCGTCGCCCGCGCCATTTTTTTTAAAAACGTAATCAAAACATTGACATTTGAGTTTGAATTACGTTTTCTTGCGCTATTTGAACTTTAATACAAATTATCAGTAGTCAAAAAACGGTGCATGGCTATCAATTCTAAGACTACATCATTGTTATAACTGATTTGTTGACACATTTATTTATTTATAAGTATTTTTGCAAAAAGTAATCCGATTTGGGTACCGATCCGATTTAGGTACTGCCACCTTACATGTTCATAATCATATTTGTAAAGTTTCTATTTCATAGCTCTATATTTTTTCTTTAAAACAATATCTTTGCGGTTGCGGTTGGCTTTTCCAGTGTCCATCTTATTCATGCTCAAATTGTTTAACTCTCCTTACGTTCACTATTCCGTCTTTGCGTATTGCAGAGTTATCTTCTCTTGGTAGCAGGTATTGATTGTTACGTCATTGGTCTGTGTGGGAAAATTACGTCGTTGTCCCAAAAATCGATGACGTTTCTCTCACAAACAAGTGACGTAACAATCAATACCTGCTCCCAAGAGAAGATAACTCTGCAATACGCAAAGACGGAATATTCGGTGGGGGTTGTTCCACTTGTCAGATTTTCTCTGTGTGAGCGAATATTTTCTTAGATTTGACCGTGAATACTTTTTATATATTTTTAAGCTATGGCTTCGTGCGTTTGATGCTGCAGTGTCAATTGTTGTAGATTATTTTAATCTAACATTTTCTGTGTAATTTTAGGATTTTCCCCACTTTCATATAAAACTGTGTTAAAAGTACTTAGACCCTTCTCAGGAAACACAGCTCCCATTATTTCAATAGCATTAAATTCATTTAAGGGGTTAACTTCACATTCTAAATATACTTTTCTCTGGCAATGTTTCTTCATTTTTATAAGAAATATTATTACTCGAAGGAAAGGATCAAGACATTTTTATTATAAGTATTTTAGGTAGGCTTACTAGTAGTCGTGATTGTCATTTTAACCCATTCACCCCTAAAGTCACAGTTGAACTTTACCAAATCAAAGACTTGGCAAGTCCATTATAAAAATGTACGGGTGAGTTAAACATTGTTTACATGGACATGCATTGTTGAATGTGAAAAAACTAGAACATAATCCACGAAATCAAACACTACTGTCTATGTGAAACTGCCCATGCAATGCCATTCACGACTTTTTGTAATCACTGACGAGACCGAGTATGAACTATTACATAGTATTATTCTAAAAATTGGTCAGCAGCGTGTCAAATTATCGCTGTTAAAGCGAACAATTACGTTCAATAAGTGATATGGTTTTTTTTAACCTTTAATGATGTTTTTAACATCTTTTTTAAAGAAAGAGAAATTACTAAACGCTCAGAGGGAAACTACTAACAGCACCAAGGAGAAACCGACCGACGTCCGCATACGGCAAGTCCAGGAGAATCTAGAGAGACAAAGAACAATGACGAGAAAGCGGTAAGACTTATAATACTAATAATTCAACTGACCAATGGTCATTGTAATAAAGGTTACCCCTAATCTGACGGATCGGGATTCTATCCTTATTTCCCATGCGTTATTTTCATTTTCGGAGAACATATTGCAAGTCCAGGGCCCATATTCATGAAACCGTTCTCATGCCCAAACCCAGATTCTGTGCTCAAGCCCAATATATTGTGCAGTCAGGAATTTATAAAAATGGTCATATTTTATCAATGATATGTAAGGAATTTGGAAAGACATTGAACCGAATACTGTTTTCAATGTTAAAACTTGACTTCTTGACCGTGTATCATGATTTAAGCGAGTTACAAGAAAGTCGGCTTGAGCACAGAAATCATGCGTGAGTATGAGAACGGTTTCATGAATACGGGCCTAGAGCTTTGTAGATTGGGCGTACTGGAATTTCCCTAAATACGGGTTAGTATCAATTTCCACAAGACTGGTCGTATGTGCTGCCCAAGATTGCTTGTTTAGCGAGAATTCCTTCAGGTGTGGTCTCGATAATTGTAAAAAGTCTTCCAAATCCAATGTCATGCCTTAACGTAATGTATTAACTACACGTGTTTGGATGTGTCCGGTTGTTCCTCGCTTGTATCTAGATAGGAGCGAGTTGTTCTGATTCTCGTGTTTCGTGTTTAACAGGATTGAGCGGCTGCTTCAAGGCAAGGCGAATCGTCTACGGCGCCGTCTGGGGGACATACATGAGGAGAACGCAAAACGCGATCTCTTACGTCAACAGGATGAGAGCAAGCGCCAAGCAGCCCTCGCACAGCATCACATAGGGGTATGACGTCAGGGTAGTTGTAGACAACCACGTTTATGATATCATCAAGCCTGCAAAGCTACACAAATATGTGTTAATGTAATAAACATAAAAACTAAGATTTCAATTAACATGTATATAAGATGGAATAGGAGCTGTAAGTCAAAATGGAATTACAACAATAGGACTAGAGGAGGTACCAAAACAAAAGGAATGATAACACATGGAACATGGGAGACCCCCACGGAGTCTTCCGGCAACTCAAGAAATGTGTTATGGCAATCAACAATCTGAAACACATTGGCCAAATCTGTAATCGTGGAAATCCCGGAAATTGCAGCGTAGATCGACGTCTTTATGTCTGAAAGCCCTGTTGTTCTTTCTTGAAAATCCTGATACTAAAAATCGCTTTTAGAATGATGAATAGACTGTGACACGTATATCATTTTAGCAAGAGTGGCTATGTCAATATTTCGTTAAAACTTCGCGTAATCGCAGGCTGCAAAATTCTGATAGGCCATAAACAGACGACTGACGTAGAAGCCTGTGCGTTTTAGCGGACCATATTGTAACTATTGAGAAAAGGAAAGTTAAGATCGTCTGATTAAAGTCGTCATTTTTGTTAGGGATTTTGTGAAGTGACTACTTTTAACATTAGGTGAACTAATATTCATAGAGGTGATGGATTATGGAGTTAATAACCGTAGTTCCCAGAATAAATGCTAAGTTGGTTTACCGCGTAAAGGATAGTTAAAAGTGAGAGTGTTCATCCTCTTATTCGTCAACACTGTTTTTAACGTTTATATTGGTAATTGGTGTTTGTCATTGAAGTAATTGCTTAAAATGTTACAATTTATTATTGAAGGCGGAACAACGAAATCGAAGACTAACGCAGCGCTGGAAGCAACGTGAACGACAGCACTTCGAACGTTTGGAGGGGAAGAAGAAACAACGAGCGTTTGACCAGAATAAGAAGGTAATGATAGGCTTGCACAAAAGAAAGTTCTGTGATGGAAGCACAGGAATGAAAAAAACGCATTTGATGTCGCCACGATCTGCACACAACTAGCTGTCTCTAATGAGGGCATTTCTTGATCCGCCATTGGTTTGGTCTGTGTCTCACTGTTCTATTGTTGTCTAAAATTGGTATATTGTCCCATCCCTATTAAGAATATACGAGTGGAATTCTAAAACTTCAATTTTGGGAAATGTCATAGAAAACACGGTCGAAAGGAAGAGATTATGCGAATAAAAACAAATCCTATTCTAACCGAAATATACTGGATGTACTTGCCTTCTTGTCAGGTTAGTTACGGTTGCCTTGCCGACACGTTTATTGTTCGAGACTTTATGATTTGAAGATGCGCTTTACAATTCAGAGCTTCGAGATGTGGCAAACCCGCAAGCAGATACAAAGGGAACGCATAGAAAAGGAAGCAGAGATCCTTCGACGTGAAAATGAACGTCGGGACCGAAATATTTCTGTGAGAGACCGCTTGCTTGCAGAACAACGAAATCGTATTACAGGTGAGGAGAGAAATGTTTCCTTTGTCGTTGAAATTTTGATGACTTTGTTTATCTTTTAAGCACTTCCGTCAAAAACTGAGTAGTTAACACCGATTGAAATATACTACAGTGTGACGCCGCTGGCTGGAAGTTTAGAAATGTACACGGTGAAATAAAAGGTAGCATAACTACTAAAAGTAAATGAACAATAGCGTAATTATGAAGGTTGAAATAGGTTTATAGGCCGTTTTTATCATCTGCTTCAGTTACTTTGATATCAGGTGTGACACCTCTTATTCATTTTCCTAACGAGGCATCAAAGGAGGGAAACATATCCGGGAAAACGCGAGCCGAGAGAAGAAAAATAGGGACTGTATTAACCAATCAGAAATACTGTATCAGGGATGGGTTATACAATAACACTAATCGTAGTTTCTAAGAAAGGAAATTAGATGGTAACGCGTATTGCCGTTGTGGTAGGGAAACATGATTCTTTGTTTGCCGATATTATTTATGTTTTAGGAAGGGCGAAACCCGGTGTAAAGTATGTGTTTGTTTATATCGCATTACGACTATAGCAGAACGGTACATTTGTATGCATTTCAGCACAGCTAAATGCCATGAAAGAGACAATGCGGAGGCAGAAGGCAGAACGAGAGAAGCGGTATGCCCGCCGTCTCGAAAAGAAAATGGCTTTGGCTGAGCTTCGAGCGTGGGCGCGACATCAGGGTTGGTAACATTTGTAAATAGTTTGGTGTGCTGTTAACTAATTAAGAGTCTATCAAAATCCCTACAGGACTGATCCAAGCTTTTTGGCTTCGTCCTGAATCAGGGATTGGATGGTCCTAGCCCTTATGTTATATCCATATTTGTAGCCCTTCATCAGGGATTGGATGGTCCTGGCCCTTAAGTAATATATATATTTGTAGCCCTTCATCAGAGATTGGATGGTCCTGACTCTTATGTTATATCTTTATTTGAAGTCCTTCATCAGAGATTGGATGGTCCTGACCCTTATGTTATATCTATATTTGTAGTCCTTCATCAGGGATAGGATGGTCCTGACCCTTAAGTTATATCTATATTTGTAGCCCTTCATCAGAGATTGGATGGTCCTGACCCTGTTGTAATATCTACATTTGTAGCCCTTCATCAGAGATGGTCCTGACCCTGATGTAATATCTACATTTGTAGCCCTTCATCAGAGATTGGATGGTCCTGACCATGATGTAATATCTACATTTGTAGCCCTTCATCCAAGGTTGGATGGTCCTGACTCTTACGTTATATCTATATTTGTAGCCCTTCATCCAAGGTTGGATGGTCTTAACTCTTATATTTTATCCGTAATTGTTAACCAATTATGAATGTGTCAGGCCCACTATATTCCTAAGAAAGAGTTTTTTAAAGCCCGAAAGCTTGGATTAAAAGTGATTGTTGCTATTTCTTTTGACTCAAACGTTAACAGTGACAGTACGGAGATCTCTGAATAGTTATAGCTGTGCATGTGAAGTGCTAGGAGTTACTTTATTTCTAGGCTAGACGATGAGGTGCCGTAGGCATTGAGTTCGGGGGCCGGACATACCACTAGTCATACCATTGTCTTTTTGTGTCACTCGTGTTTCTTTGTCATACATACCTATATATATATATATCTAACTACCTAGTCCAATCTCGCTGCATTTCCATAGCCACGACTTGGATACTATTGTCAAGTAAGATGGAAAACAATGACGATGTGAACATATCGGCCGAATTTTGTCAACAGAAAAAAATATATGAGGAAATACGTTTTTCCTGTAGAGACATATTGTAAAGTAGGATATATTCATACATATAAAAACAATATATTACCAGATTGAAAGAACTAAAATGGATGGGAAATGTGTCAGTCAAATGAATTTCGTATGCTCTAAAAATGATTTTAAATTTGCTTCTTTGTGGTGAACCAGACTATTATCGGTTCTTCCCATAACATTTCGACCTTACTTGTCTATTCGTTTCGTAATTGGACAGCTAAGACAATATGGTTCCGTAATTGGACAGCTGAGACAATTCGGTTCCGTAATTGGACAGGTAAGACAATTTGAATTGGACAGGTAAGACAATTCGGTTCCGTAATTGGACAGCTGAGACAATTCGGTTCCGTAATTGGACAGGTAAAATAATTCGGTTCCGTAATTGGACAGCTGAGACAATTCGGTTCCGTAATTGGACAGGTAAGATAATTCGGTTCCGTAATTGGACAGGTAAGACACATAGATGGAATAGTAAAATCTTCGTCTTGATACAAGAAAATTTTGTTCAGACTTCAGAGTTTTATTTCCCTGTTGTACATGGCTATTTTAGGTAAGAGGAGGAGAGCACGTGGAGCCAGATTCAGGAGTATGTGGAGCATGGGAGAAACCATGGAAAAACTCATTTACAGCCTTGAAGATATGGACGTTTTTCAAAGTAAGTTCCTGTTATCCTAGATCGTATGGCATACATGTAAACAAAGTTTTTGGGTTGTTTGTGTTTTACGTACTATTAACAGCTATGGTCATTTAAGGAATGTGCCAGATTTTGGTGGTGGAGGAAAGCCGGAGATCCCGGAGAATAGCCACCGACCTACACGTACGGCTAGTGCCTGGCGACTGCTCCACGTAAGCCTCGAACCTGCGACCTAGTGGTGGAGGCTAGTGGTAGCAGTATGTCAGAAGCCTCAACCATTTGGCCACCGCGACCCCTGTAAACAAAGATGAACGAGGCATGTCAGTTGACTTTCAGACAGAAACATAATTTTCTTCCGAATCATTGACAAAGGTGTTAATTGAGCTTGAGCACAGAATCTGAGTTTAAGCATGATAATCATTTCATGAATACGGACCAGTAGACCATTGAACGTATGTTTTTGACTCTCTTAAATTAGATTTGACTCTTGGGTTTGAGAGGACAGATCTGTTTGACATGTGTGTTGTGACTATCCATGTTTCAGCGTAAGAAATATATAAATTCTAAAATTTATGGAAGCTAATGGTCAAATAATAAACCCTGTTTGTCATCTTGGAAGCTTTCTTATGGCTCATATTGCAATTTTAACATGATGTTTCTTAAATAACGGTACCGCCGTCTTTTCGTGAATAAACACACTTTAAAAATTCTCCGATTAGTTCTTCTTTGCATGCAATCATTACATTCGTGTAAGTATATATAAACATTTGGAATATGCATTCTGTAAAATGTTTATGATGCCGATCTGTGTATTGCCAGAATAAATTTTAGGTTTTTGATTTCGGTGAAAGAAGTAGCTATTGAAATATAGCTTATTGAGAGGGGGAAAATGCCATTAACCGGAAATTGTCATTCAGAAAAACGTGTTTTTCTGACTATTTCAGCTGTTGAAACACGAAGTGACCATATCAAAAATACAAGTGGATTTGTATGTGCTTTATTCATTTTCAATGTTGGGTATTTTATTTCAATGTAAAAAGAATTGTTAAAATAAAGTGAATGGAAACAAGAGATCAATTATTAATGTTAGTATGAATTACAAGTATTGGCTTGATTCGATTTTCCAAAGGTACATCTTGATTTTAAACTTTGGGCTCCACGAAAGTATCTGATTTCACAGTATGTTAAGTTCTCTTAAGGAGAGTATATTCTCATTGAATCGTATGGAAAATTCTATGTCTTAATCTTATAACATGTAGATATAGACTATAGTGCATACGTACTTTTATCACATAATGTACTGTTAATATACCCATGTCATATTTGTTTGTGTATTAACCCATGTAATATGACCTATCGTCCGTGTGATTGGTTGTAAGTTTCAATTGTTTCAATTGTGACGTCACGCCTAGGACAAGTACAGTCAAAATGACGGCATTTTACATTTCAAAGTTGCATGAAAGATGTCGTTTTACACGAATAAATGCCACAACTCTATGTGATGAAAAGGATCATACACTCGTTTATATTTCATATGTAATTTATGGATCTCATCACGAACTTTTCATTTTGGCTCGCCAGAGGCTCGTTGAATTGAAAAATTATTTGACTCGTTTCATAAATCTCATATGAAATGGAAACTCATGTAAGATCCTGTATATGTATACATATATAGCTCTATGTACATGGTCTTATATATGACGTTCTAGTCTAGTTTGCTGTTTGTAGATCGAACATCCGCCTCTAGTTTCCTGCAGATGCTCAACGACGCAGTGGACGATTTACATGAATCACCGGAAGAGGTGAGTGGACTAACGATGACACTTCCTGTTAAAATTTGGTAGATCTTCGTCATTTTGAACACCTTTTATTTGCAATTAATAACCCCACTAACTAGTAGTGCAAGAAAACTATCTGCATAAATTACATCTCCAGCACACACGCAGGCATACACACATAGGGAGATATTAACCAGGTGGCATAGGACTAGCGAATTACTCAAAAAATGTATTGATTAATGTATTTATGCTAATTATATTAATTGTATATCTATGTACTGTAAAACGCTTTAGAGTGGCTTATGTTAGCTAGATAGGGCGCTATATCAAATTTAGTTATAGTAAGACTATATTGTGTTTTTTATAGATCTAGACTAATTAACAATTGTGTTTTCATACATTTAGTCAATCTGTATTAGTCTTCATCCATTCATATTCATGGTTTTCAAACATTTCATAAGTGTGTGGTGGTTTTTTTTATATATAGGAATTGAACAGACATCTTTTAACATTCATGACAGTATAAACGTAAAGGGTTACATATTACACTCATAGTCTTTGAAGCCCGCTAGTATATGTAACCTAATATATTTAGTCTTAATATCTTCGGCATTGGAGTTTTGGTATGGTCTCATGCTATGTAAGGCTGGAGAAGCTTAAAATGAAACTGTTCAAATTGCGTTCATATCCCTATAAATGCCATTTCTTTCGATATTTTATGTATGGGAACTTGCAGGAGAAACGTAAATATATATAGGATCTTACATGAGTTTCCATTTCATATGAGATTTATGAAACGAGTCCAAGATTTTTTCCACTTAGCGAGCCTCTGGCGAGCTAAAATAAAAACTTCGTGACGAGTTTTATAAATTTCATATGAAATGAAAACGAGTGAAAGATCATTTTTATCACCTAACCAAGATTGGTGGCAATTATTCGTGTAAAACGGCAATTTTCATGCAACCTCGAAACGTAAATAGCTACCATTTTGTCTCCAGTGCGGAAGTCTTTGACGTCCTGTACTTGTCCTAGGCGTGAAGTCACAATTGAAACGTACAACCAATCACATGGATAACACAGTACATTATGTGATAAACATTTATGAACTTAATTTATCTTTTATTTAGTTTCATTTGTTCAGTCTGTATTGTGTTTTCATATATCTATGTATTTTTGTGTTTTCATGTTATATGTATTGTTTCTTCATAGATTTATTAAATTGTTTTGTTTTCATACACTAATCCATGCAGGAAAGGGAAGATGACGATTATCTCATCAGGGAACAGGCGAGACAAATAGTCGATTCGGTCATCACAAATGTCTGCACGGTAAGGGTGTACATTAGTGCCTCAGGTCGGTAAAGTTAGCACTCAATGGGTGCACGAGGTTCAGCTGCACGTTGAGTGTGTACATTGAAGGATTGAAATATATATTTAGCTGTATAGAGTTTAACGTCATATCAACAGCATATGTCATTTAAGGACCTGCTACCATGTATTTTGTGTATGTGTGTATGTGTGTATGTGTGCTGGATGCAGGATATGTTGATGTATTTGACACCTTGATAAAGCGCGAATCTAATGCCGACAATATTCGCCACGTCCCTGAAAAACCATGCCGATAGCACTCAGCACAGCATTCCGCCCGGTTGTTGCCATTATTCCCAAATGCTGAACGTTTAGCAGAGAATAACGACTTCCAATTTTAAGGACGTTGGTATGTCCCGGCCTAGGGGACAGACCCAATTGCCTTTCTCACTTGGGCGAACGTTCAATATGAAAGCCAAGAGCGAGGTATTGCCAAGGAAGGTGCTAGGAATCACAATATAGGTAGCAATAGAGGGAATTACAAAGATCATGAATATTGCAATGGATGCAACATATTGAATTTGGTCGCTTTTGTGTCCCTAAGTAGAGAGCACACACACAAATCCCCAATTCTGCAGGGTTTAAATATAAGCGGTTTTACAAATTAGAAGAATAGACAATTTTTGCGAGAACATAGCCGTGGTTACCAATTACGTCAAGTAACAAACTCCAATCGAAAACCATTCGGAGATTTCCGTAATAACATTACTTTGAAGTAAAACCATATATGGTCTCGTCTCCAAATATTCATTCTAACACATCTATTAAGAGACAACATTTTTCAGCTTTCAGTTGTTATTATTTTCATGTTAAACTGAAACTGCCATCTGCTATAATAAACTTCATGGACTTACCGAAGGTGGTTTTATATGTGACCCGGTGACACTAGCAACTGCGTCTACAAGCGTTACACTGGCGTTGGTGGCTGCAAGAGCTATTGTGATTCAGTGACATTATAAACAGTTGCTTCTTCGAGTGTTGCAGTGACCTGATGACACTAGTACTAGATGTCACGGACACTTATTAACTTACCAGGGATAATTCAGTGTATGACCATATCTATTTTTCTTCCAGGAACTTTATCCAGAGTACCTACACTCACTAGACCAGGAATCTGAAGATGGTAAGTGCAAGTATAGAATATATGCCTTGTGGGACACGTGCAAGTCTTATTCAATTATCGGCATTGTGCGTCACTTGCAAATCAATTCTCGTTGCCTTATGTGTCACATACACGATCATCTCTTATCCTATGGGTCATCTGCATGCCTTACCCAACGGTCCTGTTTGTCAGGTACATAACACATACGATTGTTTGAGGCACGTGCTATCTCATTTCCTTATGTGTAAGATGAACGCGATATTTCATTGCCGTGTGTGGTAATAGATGCAGGAGACAATATCATTGCCATGTTTGCCAAGGACAGATGACATCTCATTGCCCTATATATTAATAATTATACTAAACATACCATTGCCGTGTTTGTCAGGTGCACGTGACATCTCAATGCCTTGTGTGTTAGTAGGTGTTCGTGACCTCTCATTGCCTTTTTTTTTTACAAATATATGTGTATCAATCTCATTGGCTTTTGTGTTTACTAGCGCATGTGCATCCCATTGTCTTTTGTGTAAGATGCTTGTGATATCTGTTTGTTTGTGTGCTATGTGCACATGACATCTCTTTGCCTTTTGTGTTAATTGCGTTCGCGAGAGCTCAATGCCTTTCGTATAAATAGATCTGCATCACATTCCTTTGATATTTGTGTTAACTGGTGCATGTGACATCTCATTGCTTTATGTGTAAGGAACCCCCTTTTTACATGTTTTCCTTTAAGTTGTCCAGTGCGCATCACATATCATTGTCTTGTGTGTTCGCTGTATGGAATATTTCTTTTCTTGTTTTTTTAGGAGCGAATATAGCATTTAAAATGTATGTTAAATCTCAACTGAAAAGTTTAACTATCACTTCAATGCATGTGGTCAATTCTAAATAGTAAACAAACAACAAAAGTACACAACAAATAGTAATATTTCATAGCAACAATAGTAACTATAAAGGTTTCTTGCAGGTCTGGGATCGACGGAAAAGTCTGTCAAATTTGGGTGTGAACGAATCATCACTACTCATCCCCGTGGGTCCGTCGACGTCAGTGCGCTCCGTCCTGTTGAGGAACACGTTCTGACGCCCGTTGCCTCCATGAACATGATGTCACCCTCACTCGGGGGCGACGAAACCGCGGACCAAGTGATAGTAGAGAAAATCTTAAATCGTCTTCTTACTGATCTTAATGACAAAAAGCTTTCACAAGATGACCTGGTTAAGTTAACATCGTATTCGCTGCAGATACTCAGTTCGAGACAGTCATTTTCGCCAGAAGATGACGATCTGTCTGAGCTAGAGACTGGGGAGGTGTATGAGACTGCCGTTGCCGACGATTTGGTGCATTTTACCATCAGCAAAATTGTAGATGAGGTGAAGTCGGGCCAGGTTAGCCGTGAGGAGCTGACGGGACTGGCACTGTCAGCCTGGGACATGGATAGCCAGTCTTCCACGGAGGACGGGGTCGTGGACACCCTTATAGAAGACACTATACAGCACATCATTTCCGACAAGAGTTTCGATAGGACGTCCTCAGTCCACGACTTCATGCTGGACGAGTTCATCGTGAAGACGCTGAACGAGGTGAGCAACGACCTCAAGTCCGGCAATTTACCAATGGGCGTGATATCGCAGATTCTTCAACAAATGTCGGAAGTGGTGGGGGATATACCTCTCGAAGATGTTGACAACAAATCCGACATGTTCAGGTGTCTGTTAGCACGTGTGACTGATGACGTAGTATCTGAATGCAGCGACACGCTCTATAAGGTCGTCAACATCATCATCACGTCTTATCACACTTACAGAGAAGCATCAACACAAGGACTCTCTGAATTGGTGGCCGATATCTGCGGGCGTATCTCCACGTATCTTAGCTCTGGAGAGGCCCATGATTCAGATGTGAAATTTGAAGCTCTGTGTGGCATTGCAATCAAAATATGTCCAACAACAATGTCTTCCCAACAAGTGTGCGAGTTGACATCAAGTATCGCAAATATTCTCCATATCCAGACCAACGCACAGAACGTGGATGTAGACCACATCATAGATTTGTCAAAAAGGCGTCTCAGCGGAGCCGGTGTGGATACTCTGATACGAATAGCTCGCGTCGTGTTAGAATCGTGTCAAAATATTGTCAATAATCTTCAAATGGAAGAAAACAAAATTGAAGGGGAACAAAAACAAATTTTCCTGGAGGACGTGTCTCAATTCGTAGTCGACATTCTTAAGATGGTATCGAGGAGTGTTGATCGAGGCAACTTCTCTGAGTCTGACATACAAGAGATGTCAGAGCTTCTCCAGCATGTTAGTCGTGGTAATTCATTAGCCCCTACGCCAGTACCGGACAAGAAGGTGCTTCTCATAAACACTCTAGCTTCGATACTTGGTGACGTTGAAAACGGTCGATTAACTGAGGCGGAAATGCATGAACTTGGGAATCACCTAAGATCCTGCGGAGAACGACTCTTAGGTCCGTCACTTAGCGCATCAGTAGAACCTATGACACGTGCTGCATCGTTCACAAGCACAGCTGTGGCGGACAATGTTGTCTCGCATGTATTGTCTTCCATTCAAACTGACATTGATAAGGATCTGATGAATACCGAATCGCTAAAAGAGCTTGCAGTGTGCATACTGAAAACAAGGATGTCCAAGGACAAACTGGACACAGACAGCGACGAGTGCTTGGTAAACGCAGTTAACTCTAGTCACACGCATCCTTCCCCCTGCGAGTCCAGATTGGCAGAAGATGTCGTCTTTGCAACAATTGACAACATCTTTAAAGACCTGAATGAAGGCAAGCTATATCCAGACAAAATAACGTCATTAGCATCATCAATGGCTATTGGTTTTAGTAAAGATTCAGAAAGATTGGATCATGCAATGGACAAAATATTGGATTGTCTTCGTGAAGATACCATCGACAGAGAGGAAGCGAAGCGAATGTTTGTCATGATAATTGATCAGTACAAGTCCAACTGGAGTACAATGCCACAGAGCGACGATGTCTCGGCCCTTTCGTCGTCATCTAAACTGGCAGAATCTTTAATTCGTGCAACACTGAACAAAATAAATCGTGACGTTCAAAGTGGCGCATATACTGAAGCAGAACTGCTGTCATTGATGGGGAGTACGTGTGAAGCGGAAGGGCCTGCAGCTGCAGACGATGTAGTCAATTTGATTTCTGCTACTATTCAAGAAATTCTACAATGTATAGAATCGAATACAATATCGATCGAGGACCTGTCAAACTTTCTGTCCCTTTTCAAATCACAGAAACAAAAAGAGCCCGAAGACATTACAATGGAAATAGCACACAAAAAGTGCACGGAGGCCGCAAGAGATATATCTCGACACGGTGGAAGAAGCGTTTTCATAAAAGATGTCATCAAATGTATTGCCAACAGCAGAAAGGATTCAAAAACGGGACCAGTGGCTGTCTTGCAAAGCCTTTTGCAGATCGTCGATTCTAACATTTTGACAAATTTCATTCGCGTCACTCTGCAAAGAGTTTTGGTAGACATCGGAAGTACAACTCGGAACGAGCAGCCACAACACCAGACCTCGTTTTGTGTTAGATCGGACGTCCACGTGCAGTCTGTGACGTCCCTCATAGCTCAAAATGTCGTAAGAAACTTGATGGCAAGGATAGATCACACACTTGTTGCTCAAGGAAAGCTGTCGTCAGATGAAGAGCTTCTTTCGGTCAGGTTAGACTCGCAAGACTTCAACTATATACAAAGCCTGTACGAAACTGAACCAGACATGTGCATGTCCTACTCCTCGAATGAGATCGGAGGTCTGATACTGGATACACTTAATAATATTGTTTCCAATCTTCGTCTGGAAAGGTCAATGTCACAGCCTGCCGAACAGGACGCCAAACACGTATCGTCGGACGTTTTGCATGACTTTGTTTTGGAAAAACTCCAGGGCATTGTTGAAAACATGCAAGATCATATGGCATTAGGAAATGAATGGCAGCCAGGTGAATTAGTTGACATCGAAACACTGGATTCCCGGTCTAAAGTTGTGTCTTTTCTGGATATGAATGACAAGCAAGCCACCAGTTTTGTGACTCTGGTTCTGCAAGACGTCGTACACGATATGTCTACAGAGGTTTCAACTGCGGAACACCAACAAACTAGCAATGCCGATGAACAAACCTCAACTCTGACTCTGGAGGTCGAAAATATTGTTGTCTCTACACTTCAAGACATTGTTGACGACTTCACTGATGCCGAACGCGAGTGTTCACAAAAAATACGACAAGAGATCGCAAAACGAAAAGCCTTAGATGCTTTAGTACAGATAAAACGAGATGTGATGGAAGGTAAGGACGCTTTTGTAAAAGATACCGTATTACGCATCATGAAATCTTCGGTGGAACCGGGACAAAATGAAATGGAAAACGAGTTCATTGAAAATACAATGAATTCAGTTATCAGCAACATAGAAGTAGACAACATTAAGGCATCAGATTTATATCAAGAAAACTCCTCAACAGAACTAGCGACTGGCGTAATTAAAGACGGCGTTGCGTCTGCAGTGGGTGTAGCTTCTCCTAAGTCTTCAGAAGTAATAGACGGCCGTCTTGACCGACCTTCTGTAAGTCTTCAAAAGATGGTTGATATGACAAATAAGATGCTGAAGTTTCACGAGGAGGAAAAACATAGATGTCATGACAATACAATTCTTGGCGTGTCCTCATGCGGTATACCAAAACTTGACAGAAGCTCTACACTCTTAGATATTGCAAGCGCCCTCAGTCATTCTATTGACGTGACAATCGACAGTGTTAAAGAAGGCAAGATGTGCGATGACGAGATTGTAACTCTGGCCACGGCCCTGTCCCAGAGCATGTTAGATGGTGGGGCCGAACACGTTCTCTCCACTGCCTCCGTTGACGACTCTATTGAAGATTTCATCATTGTGATGCTAGAAGAAAAGAAACGTGAAATTGAGCAGAATGGATTGGACTCAAAGAGTATCATAAATATTACAGATCGCATACTTGGAATCCAACTAAGGGATAAAGATGGGGCACAGAGAAGTACTAGTGTTTCGTCCGTTTCATCTGAAAAGATAGCTGGTTTTGTTCATAGTATTTTGCAAAATATTGCCAGCAGCCTTACCCAACTGAACACCATGAATGATAATCCTGCAGGAATTGTTGTCGACGAACTTGAACAAAGTGAATCTGCCGAAACACAGCTTTCCGGGACCGGAAGTATAAGCAAACAAAATATAAATCCAAATGCAGTACTTCCGAGGATCAACAAGCGGGCAAGCAGTTCCCACATTATTCCCACACAGATGGATTGTTTTACGGAAGTTGGAAATACATCATCACCAGTGCCAGGCAAAAATGTGCAGCTTGCAAAGATTTTCCAAGAACAACGCTGTCAGAAAGATCGACGCACTTCATGCAAAAACAACTCCAAAACGAAAAGTATCAAACAAAATAGCAAACAACTACATCAAACGACTACATCAATGAAAAACAATGGGTGTCAGTCATCAGCTACTGCCAGGAAACAAATTCCTCAAGCCTCAACACCTCCCAAAAATAAGCGACCTTCGATTCCATCGTGTCGTGTTTCACAAACAACAACACCCAGCAAATGTGGACGACAGCCATCTAAGACGAAGGTTTCTCCCGTAAAGTCAACCCAACCTTCACAGATTAATGCGTCCAAGCAAACGCTTCCTGTCTTCGACAAACAATTCCAACATAATTCACCGTCAGCTGTTAAAGTGAAAATATCACGTGCAGACGGGAAGTCGGATCATAATGTGACAAAAGGTCATGTTCAAGAACGCGTGAAACCTTCAAGAGGAGTACCAACCATTCAATCACAAGTTAAGGAGCATAAAAGAGGGGCGAACATCAGGCCAAATCAAAAGAAAAAGGAGTCTATGACCCCAGACGAAAAACTCGGCCGGGGCACGGGTCTCGGAGAAGAGAAAACCCCCAAATTGTTAACATTTGAAGAGTTATTTGATTATAAGCCGGCAGCCCTGAATCTAGTTCCTTGTACTCCTCCCGTCGATAAGAGGGCAATTCCCATGGAAGTACAGTCAATATGTGGTTCACATAGAACGAAGGTCAGAGTCATCAAGGACAACAGCGATATGTAAATAGTTAGTAAGTTAATTTGAACGATGCACCTCTTTAATCTTTCTCCTTTGTGATATTTCAATATGTGATTTGGTAAAGTTTAATATTAACAATTACTAAGGCGCGATTATACCATGACAGCTCATAGCCCTATAACCAATATACAACTGCTATTAATAACCAAACGAAGACAATTATCTCTGCATAATTTGCCTCGGAGTCCGACACTCCCCTGGTAACTTAGTCCCTAGGTAAATACATGGAAATCTCCATGCATAACGATATATAAAAATGCTGGGCATGAAAAGACAATTTGTATGCAGTCCTGCCAAGAGTTATAGGACTAAAACCGAATGTAAATTATAGTCGCCTGAATTAATAAATTGGTGTTCTACCCGTAGAAAATTACTCTCTCAATAATTTTGAGTAGTACAACCATTCTTCTGGTTTATCTGTTTCTAAATAAATAACAAGATGAACTGTCTAAAATTATTGTAATGTGGATGGACAATAAGCTGAATTCTTGTAAAGTTGAAGGAAAATAAGATGAATTCTTGCGATGTTGATCGAAAATAAGATGAATTCTTGCAATGTTGATGGACAATACGATGAACTCTTGCAATGAAGATGGAAAATAAGAAAAAATGTTGCAATGTTGATGGACAATAACACGTTACTCTCGGAAACATAACGTCATATTTGGCTGCCTCATACAAACTGTTAAGCTGATTGGCGAGTCGATTAAAATTAATATCACCAATAGAAGAAACATGCTTATTAGCTGACGCTGCCTCTCTAAGTGTATTATCGTAGGAATAAAAAAAGTATTGTTTAAACGATTGTTGTTTGAAAGCATATCATAAATATCTGACATTTTAAAGAGGGTTTACCAACAGTTTTATTTCGTCTGACGGCAGTAAAATGATAGATCTTGTAGTTATACCAGATTTGTCCCTTGCTTGGTGAATGGCCGTAATACTATAATAGCCAAAGTAAAACCGTCAAAATAAATTGCCCTCAGTTTAAAGTTTGGCGACACTCTGAAACTTCAGTTGTAATAAAAGATGTTTTTCCTTGAAACTGAAATAACTTGATGTTTTAAACATACCAAGGAACATGTTTTTACTTTATGAGGTTTCTTAACACTTGTAATATTTTTTTCTTTTTTTTTCAGATTCAAATCGTCAACACAATATAACCCTTGAATTTATTATTAATAAAGAAATAAAGAAGTCATGTTTGACACATTTAGTTGATCATTGTTTTTTTTTAACACAGTTTCAATGATATTATACAAGTCTTAACATTTTCCTACACTTTTCCCCACTTCTACACAAGACACACCAATGACCTGTTGACTCTCATGTAGGAGCTATCTCTCTTACATTAATGCAATCATTGATCTCAAGTTCAGGAACTGTTATTTTTCCTAATCCTGGATTTCAAAATGCCAGTTCCTTTCTTTTTTCAACTAATGTTCTGAAATGTTAAATCACCTCAATGTTATACGAGACCTTGGCCCATATTCATGAAACCGTTCTGATGGTCAAGCATGGATTCTGTGCTCAAACCGACTTTCTTTTAACTCGCTTAAATCATGTCAATCGATCAAAAAGTCAAATGTAAACATTGAAAACAGTTTTTGGTGTTAAGTCTCTTCAATGTTATTCTAAATCATTGACAAAATCATATTAACTTATAACGTGAACAAGACATTCGTCTAGAGCACCGTATCCATGCTTGAGCATGAGAATGGTTTCATGAATATGGGCCCAAGGTTATAAATAAATAAATAATCTTATTTTGTCAATGATTCGGAAAACAATTGAAGAGACTCGGAGCCGAATACTTTTCAACGTGTTTGATCGTTTGGTCCGATTTAAGGTATTTCATTCAGACTCGTATCAGTGTACTGTATAAAGTATGTGATGGGCTCATAGCTTTTCCTCAAAATGAAAAAAAAAAATTGAAGTTGCTTGGTATACCCATGTCAAGAACAATGTCAATAATGACCTTTTCAGAAATTATTTGTCGAAAATATTGTACATTTTGTCTGAAAAGTAACTTTTAAATGCGGAATTTGAGTGGCGCAAAATTGCAGTGAATAATGAAATTAATGAAAAACCTTACCTGTACATGCATTTCTGAAGTATCCATGCGGTCAATTTTATCGAGAAAAATGTAAGAAACTGTGTCGAATCTCCTGAATAATGGCATATATTTCCACTGAATAAATCACGCCGACAAGGCTGACTGAGGTTGGAAAAAAGCATGCAAAGCAAGTGAGATTTGTACCTGTTCACCAATCACTACGGGTTCTCACTCAAGTAATCTGACTTGACTTGTATCAATAGCCTTGTTAGCTTTATGAATTATTGTAAAATATCCAATAAATTTACATGCCATCATTCTTGAGATTTGAAGCATTTTCTCACATTTTTCTCGATAATAGTGAATACATGGATATTTCAGAAATGCATATACAGGTAAGTTTTTTCATGAATTATAATATTCAATGCAATTTTGCGCCACTCAAATTCTGCATTCAAAAGTTATTTTTCATACAAAATCAACAATATTTTCGGCAGGTAATTTCTGCAAAGGTCGTTATTGACATTGTTCTTGACAAGGGTATACCAAGCAACTTTCCTATTTTTAGCCCACCATCATCGTCCGTCCTTAAACAATTCTTGTTATCGCTATTTCCGAAAGTACAAAAGGGATCTTTCTCACATTTTATATGAAGGTTCCCCTTGGTCCCTAGTTGTGCAGGGCATTTTTTAAAGACTGATTGGATAAACAACATAGCCGACAGACAGCCATCTTGGATTTTGATAGTGAAGGTTTGCTATCGCTATTTCTCAGGAAGTACCGATTGGATCTTTCTCAAATTTTATATGTAGGTTCCCCTTGGTCCCTTGTTGTGCAGGGCAACTTCTGAGACAGGCAGCCATCTTGGAATTTGAAAGTGAATGTTTGTTATCGCTGTTTCTCAATAAGTAGTTGAGACATTATTTCTCAAATCTTAATAGTAGGTTCCCCTAGGTCCTTAGTTGTGCATATTTACTTTTGAGACTGATCAGATAAACAAAATGGCAGACAGGCAGCCATCTTGGATTTTGACAGTGAAGGTTTGTTATGGCTATTACTCAGGAAGTACTGGCGAGATCTTTCTGAATTTTTTCATGTAGGTTCCCCTTGGTATGAAGTTATGCATATTTTCTTATGAGACTGGTCGGATTAACAACATGGCCGACAGACAGCCATCTTTGGATTTTGATAGTAAAGGTATCAGAGGGATCTTTCTTAAATTTTATATCCAGGTTCCCCTTGGTCCCTTGTTGTGCAGTGCAACTTTTGAGATTGATTGGATAAACAACATGGCCGACAGGCAGCCATCTTGGATTTTGACAGTGAATGTTTGTTATGGCTATTTCGCAGGAAGTACCAAAGGGATCTTTCTCACATTTATTTGTAGGTTCTCCTTGGTCCTTTGTTATGTATTTAACCTTTTTGGACTGATCGGATAAACAACATGGGCGACAGGCAGCCATCTTGAATTTCACAGTGAAGGTATCTCTATTTTCAAGAAGTACTGGAGAGATCCATCTTAAATTATATATGTAGGCTCCCCTAGGTCTGTAGTTGTGCATGTTAAATTTTGAGAATGATCAGAAAATAAAAATTGCCAACAGGCAGCCATCTTTGATTTTGACATTGAATGTTTGTTATCACTATTTCTCAGGAAGGTCTGGTGGTATCTTTCTCAAAATTGATATGCATGTTTTCCTTGGTCCTTCGTTGTGCAGGTCAACTTTTGAGACTGATTAGACAAACAAAATGGCCAACAGGCAGCCATCTTGGATTTTGACAGTGAAGGTTTGTTAAGGCTATTACTCAGGAAGTACTGGAGAGATCTTTCTTAATTTTTTTATGTAGGTTCCCCTTGATATGAAGTTATGCATATTTTCTTATGAGACTGATCGAATAAACAATTATTTGATTTTGACAGTTAAGGTTTGTTAGTGCTATTTCCCAGGAAGTACTGGATGGTTCTTTCTCAAATTCTATATGCAGGTTCCCCACTATCCTTTTTTGTTCATGTTTACTTTTGAAACTGATCAGATAAACAAAATGGCCGACCGAAAGCCATCTTCAATTTTTGATATTTGAAGGTTTGTAGGTATTATTTCCCTTGATCCCTCGTTGTGCATGTTATATTTTGAGACTGATCATAAAAACAAAATGGTTAAAGGATGAACTAAACAGATCTCTCTCATATTGCAATGATCGATTCTATTTCTTTCACATTAAGTACTGTACTAGTAAATATGTAAAATGACAATCACTTTGAAGGTTGTCTTTCATAAACATCAGTATTAAGTTTAGATCAAAAGGTACCTCAATGTGCATTTACTGTTAACATGACTCGATCAAACAGATTAGAGAAAAGAAGAGAAAATATCGAACTGACCAATGAAGAATGGTACAAAGGTGGGCGCCAAGTTCATTTTGAGGAAAAGTTATGAGCCCATCACATACTGACACTGACATGAGTCTGTATGAAATTCCTTAAGCCAGTTTCAAAATACGTGTTTGAGCACAGAATCCATGCTTGAACATGATAACGGCTTCACGAATACGGGCCCTGCATTATTTAAAAAATCTTAATTAGCGGAAGAATGTTAACTCAACTCCAGACCCGCAGTCGGCAACTGATATCGCCATGCAAAAACATACTTATCAAGACCAGCTTGCTGCAAATATTTTACATGCTGTTTACTTTTTTTATTTTTAAGTAAATCTTTGGTATACCATACCTTTTATGGCTCTTCCAAATATATGCTATGTAAATTTATACGTAATCTAAAAATTCAACCAAATCTATTATTGCTGCACAATTCAGTGTCTAATTTTATTGCCATTCGGAGCAGGAAGTGGGAGAGGATATTCCAGTCATTATGTAGGTATGGGAATGTGGACATTTTCCCTTTAAGGTGTAGAATTTCCATATCGTTGATATCTATACAAATAACCTCGATTAAGTATCGTGTTGTAATAGGCCGCAAATGTCATGGCTAGGAGGATACAATATCATTATATGCGATACATTGACAGCAATCAGCACCATCACACCATATTGTCGTTTGTCTCCCACGCTACGTCATCATTCCCCAAATGTCAAGCGTTTCACCCATGCACAAACCGCGTATATATGTATGTATGCATCACTTTCTCTGGTCACGAGCGTTAGTGGTCATTTCACTCCGGGAAACATTGATGAAGTGTTGGATATCGGTTACACAGTAACGGCTTCTGAAACCTACCTTTAGAAAGAGGTACTTATACTTTCGTACCTCCTGTAAGAAAGAGTTAGAATCGACCAAACAGTTCACCGCAAATAAATCCAAACGACATTGACGACATGCGGATTATTCTAGTTGCAATCCTTCTTATTCTCGTCACCTACACGGAGAGCAAAGGTAAGTCCTGCATCTTATAATCAAGGAAAAATTGATGTTTTTCGCATCAGTTTCAAAACGAATTATTCAGTAGTAGTGCCCAATCGGGAACCGTCGGCACTTCCGTAAACGAGAATATACGATACAAGTATCACTTGTCACAACTCATTGGCAGATTCCGTACCTACATCAAATAATTATTGATGAAGGGTACTGGTATCAGACGAGGTTAGTCAAATAAAACAAGGATATCTTCTCGTTTACGGAAAGTGCCGACGGTTCCCGATTGAAGTAGTACCCTTATTGGTGACCTTATGGTAGTGCTGGAAGGTTCAATAGTGTCTGAGCCGGAGGGGAGTTCACTAGATTTTGTTCCTTTTCTTTACAGTGATAAATAGAATCTCCCCCTACCTTGAGGGTGTGACAGAGAAATATCCAACCTGAGAGGTGATGTTTTTTGGTTGTCTAACCCGAGGCTCTGCCGAGGGTAAGACAACCAAAAAACATTACCCCGAGGTTAGGAGATTTCTTTGTTGCTCCCTCAAGGTAGAGGATGAATATTTTCCCCCGATCCTATTATTTCAGTAACAACTCCATCGACAGTAGTCTGCCATGTTTGTAAACAAAAACACATGTGGGGTATGCATATCGTCATTCACGTTTGATGACGTCACAATTACCGATGACTCTTTTCAATGAACACGTGCTAATCGGCACAAGGATATCCCCCCCTAGGGGGGTGACAAGCTGATCTTTCCCGGCTAAAAGAGGAGACACACCTATGAAGGGTTGAAGAAATATGTTATACAATGAAAATATAGTCGACATTTTTCTAGAACACTGTAGTTAAGGTCAAAATATAGCTGTAACAAATGCTCAGATCCCAGTAAATATTACGTGTTCAACAGGGTCAGATATAATGTGTTTACAATGCAAGTGCTTTCATCTTAATTGATAAAGATCACTTGGTATGCTAAACAACTTTGTAAATCACTTAAGAAGTATTTCTAACAAAAAATAATCGTGATAGCCGAAGAAATTTGACAAAAATATCGTCATTTTAAAGGGGCCCATTTAGGCATGCGTGACATTATGTAAATCGTCAATTTTGTTACGGCACGGAAATGGCAGTCCTAGAATGTGGTGCATACTGCATACACTGGATAGAAATAGAATACAAAGGAAATACCAATATCTTATATTATTAATCTTAAAATGTAAGTTGAAGAAATAGGAATATCGTATGATTCCGACTCTAAATAACTCCAAATCAGCTCTGTTGGCCAACTTCGAAGGTTGGTAATTTTTCGTATGTGAGATCGACATTTTCGTGTATGCTAATCAAATACAAATATCACATTTCAATCAATAAGTTACGAACATTATTTTTGTGTATGTTATCTTATATATTTTATCTGTCCAATGGCAACAGTATCCAATTTCTCACATACTTCACAGGGTGATCCCGTTGTTGATAGGGAAAAGATAACTCTTTCTCCCACACCTGACAGATTTATCTCCCGTTTTGCCGGTGCTAGATTTATCTGTCTCCGCCCTGCGGTTGAGACGGGGGGATTCCCCTATTCATAACAATGGCGTGACGTCACTTCAACAATATAATGATGTCACGTCAACAATTCATCAACAAATTGCCTGTATGTGTTTTGGGTCCATGTTTACCTTTATTTCACATTAAAATACTGTTAGATAGCCTCGTTCTGGACAAAAAATCTTAGTCCTCGGGTTGAGATTTCTCTATCTTACACAACCAGTAGCGATAGATTCTATTAATCTTACACGGGGTAGGGAAAGACAGCTGACACGCGCTATGACGTCATAATAATGGATTGTCGACGTGACGTCATTTTGTTGTTTCCGTGATGTCATACAATTGTTTTGAAATGGGAATCATCCGTCTCAACCCTAGGGCTTTGCCGGAAGAATAAGATCGATGTTTATTCCGACTGGAATTTGTTTAATTGTATGCAGGTGAGAAAAATAATCAAATATGGGTCTGTTCCATAGACAGGGATATCTCAACCCTCGTGTAAGATTTTGTCTGACCAGCCAAACTCTTACACTCGGGTTGAGATATCCCTGTCCAAGAAACAGACCCATGTAAGATTCTATTAATCTTCAACTTGAGAATGTTTTAAACCATGTTGAAGGTTTTATATTTTAATGCAAAAATGACATTGTAACCATTTAGTTGTTCGAAATTGAACTGTAGTTGGTATTGCTATATAGCATAATTTCTGACGATCAATATCACATGCACGTTAGATATTCAAGTGTGTCAAATATCTAATTTTCTTTTTTCTCTCTCTAATCAATAAGGGTTAAAAAAGTTTTCTTCATAAAGATTTTAAAATTCTTTATCTGTTCTGATATCTATCATAATATAACAAAATTGAATTCATATGTAATTATGTCAAGATTAAATATTTAAAGGACCGGGTATAAAGCACTGATAAAATAGCTTATAACGTTTTTTTTTCTTTTTTTCTTTTTTAAAGATTTATGACGTCATAACAATATTCGCGTTAGTTGTCAAGTAGATCCTTTTTTTCAAAATTTAACTTTTGGAATATTATACGTAATTTGCTATCATCATTTATTTTAAGCACCTTATCTTATCTTTAGCATGAATACAATAATGTTTCATCTGTATTTGCCATAATAATGTACACTAAGTGCGGCATCGAACGAAATACGCCTGTAATAGTATGTAACGCGGTCCGACATTGTAACAATACGCAGTGTGATGAGATTACTGTTAAAATAAATGTTATTTTCGTTAATAATGTCCAATCATTCAGATTATTTGTTATACCAGTTTATATGCCAGTATGATCGCATATACCTAGCGGGCTTCATGGCATATTTATATAACCGATATGCGATTATCGCATAGTTTATGACGTCACAACATATACTTCAAATAAACCGTCTGCAGAATCTCCTAGAAGAGATGAAAGTACTAAAGACTCGTTGTTAAGAATTTTTCTTTTTATAATATTTCTTCGTCCATAAGGACAATTTTTCTGATTAATAATATATATACACACATATATATATATATATATGTTTCTTAGGCAGGTACCTATGCTAAACTTTCTATGACGTAGACGTCGTTGCTTTCTGACATATATCCGGTTATCCAACTGACATGTATCATTTCCAATTGTAGATAGCTACACGAATTTGTTGCGGAGGCGCTATCAATCTGGCTGTCAAAACCGGGTGAGTGAACCCTTCTGCCTGGAACTGGCCCAGGAGGAATATGACAGCAACATGTACAGTTTTTGTAAGGACAACCTATATTCGGTCGCTTGTTGCGAGCTCTGTACAGATTACCTTGGCGGCGGCCCGTACATTAACGGAAAATAAAACATGCACTTCCCGGATCTAGTTCTGGACCATGACGTCACGATGACTGCTACCCTTCCTTGCTATGATCCGTAAAACGGTCCCGACCCTACTACAGAGCAATACAGAACTCTACAATACCTTATTATTTTGAGACTCAATAATGTTCATCCTTACTTCATTTGTACACAGCATATTAATAAATGAACTATGAATTGCTCTTAGGGCTGTCTGTTGTTCTGTTTCTTAAGAAAGACGTCAACTCACTTGCACTGTATGCAATCTACGGCGGTAGGCATGTCTACATCAAACCAAAAGTCCGTACCCATCGGACATGGCAAAATCTCATTTAGGATTGATTTAGCTGAATTTGGGTCCAACACGTTTATGTCAACACCTTCAACTGCGAAATGTAATCTGACTGAACTTTAAAGCTGTTCAAATCCAATGTACCTATACTAGCCAAATATCATGACCATGGGCCTAATAGCACTGAAGAGTTTTAGTGTTTTTTATCTTGGTATTATAGCCTACGTCATCCTTCATTTAAGGATGTAGTGCGGTGAGCTATTCTTGTCTGAAATCGGCACGGTCTACGGGAGGTAACTCTAACTGCAATTTTGACCTCAACACAATATAATATTTGAAACCAGCTAAGTTTATTATAACGGTCCAGTCATGTATCAATATTCTGGTTAAGACACTCACTTGTTTTCAAGTGTGACCTTTATTTTCGTACATTTTCTAGTATGATATTTCAGCAAGCTATTGGCTAAATAGTACGATTTTTTGTCGGTTAAGCTCTTCAAACGTAAATCGAGTATTTCAACGAATTTGAATACAGCTAGGTGAAGGTCAGTCTATTTATTTTTTATTTTTTTAGAACCACATTTCAGCAAACTTTTTGCCAAACATGTTATCAGCATTTTGGTTCTCCAGAAGAAGTTGTTTTTATGTGTTTTAACAGATTTGAACACATTGCCAGTAAGCCCCTGGCTGCACATCAGTTGTCATAAAAGATATGACCCCTGTGACCTTGAATATCAATCAATGCCATTTATTTTTATCTCCCGCTTTCACCGAAACGGGGGATATTAATTTGGGTTTGTCCGTCTGACTGTCTGTCTGTCACGCTTCGTTTCCGTGCAATAATTAAAACAAATTTTAACCTATTTAACTCGGCCAAGTTCGATGATCACTTTCAGCGGACCCCATTTGGCGGAGTTATGGCCCCTTGACTAATGAAAAACGTCATTATCTGCCGCACTTCGTTTCCGTGCAATAACTACAACAAATGTTAACCGATTTTCTTCAAACTTGGTCACAGGGTTAAGTGCCTTAAGGGCTCGGCCAAGTTCGAAGATTACTTTCAGCGGACTCCATTTGGCGGAATTATGGCCCCTTGAATAAAGACAAACGTCATTATCTGCCGCTTCTGTTCATTAACTCTCGCAAATATTATCCGATTGTCTTCAAACTTAGTAACCGAGTTCAATGCATTAAGGGCTCGGCCAAGTTTGACAAACACTAATTATAATTTTCATTATCTGCAGTTTCAGCTTAAGGTCATTGGAGTGTATTGATAAACGGGAGCAGGAAATACATCACAAGTTGAAAATCCAATGTAGGGTGACAGTATCACAATTTCCGCAAATTCTAATGTTTAATATTAAACTGATGAATCTTGTATGTTTATTATTGACAGAACAGTGTGTTCTCTCAATATTGAAGTATTTCAAAGCAATCCAGGCATTAATTCAGGTTTGGTTTTTTTTATCAATGAGGCACATGTGTCCATTTTTCTGTACTTCAGGAAACCGGCTACCTATTTCACTACTGTGAAGTTTTTCAAGAACGATAACTCTTACCTGCAATTACTATGTGTATATGGTTTTATTATAAAATGTCAATTTTTATATCGTGTATAGAGAGTACATTTTACACAATTTCAGCATTTATTAAATTGATATACATTAATGCAATACTAATATATGTCAGTATCATTTTTCTTGACATTATTTTGTAAAAATATTGTCTTTCAATTTTTTTTCAAATTTAACTCCTTTTTACATAAATTTCCATTTAAAATCCTTAAAATTCTGACAAGCTATAATTTTTTTGTGGCAGAAAATTTTCTTTACCTTAAAGCAATATAACTACAAAATTTGAAGAAATTCTACTGAGAAATGGTGACTCAATCCTATTACCCTAATAACTCTAGCAAATATTAGCCAAATTCCTTCAAACTTGGTAACAATGTTTGTGTTCCTGTCTTTCCACCCACCTCGGGCACTCTTTGGTTTTCATGTGATAATTGCTGTAGATATTGTTCAGATGTTTCAACCAAATTCAGTATGCACATCCGACTCCTGCTTAGTTTGCCAACCAATGTGATTTGTGCATATTTACGAATAATCAATGAGGTATAGGGCTTTTTTCTATTATGTCTCAACAGCACGATGCTCACATGTTTTGACCCAACCTCAATGATGTTAACCTACAATATGTCCTGCAAGCAGGGGATCTAAATTTCACGAATTTGCTTGTTACATCCGTTTTAGTATTCCATGCCAACAATCTACGTTATATATTGATTTAGGCATCTTCAGAAAATCACTTGGGAGTTGCAAATAGTCCTTGCCACATATCACATCTTCAAGCCTTTTGGTTCTTCAGAAGTTGCCGTTTAATAGATTTGATCCATGTGACCTCGAATATGGGTGAAGGTCATGTTTTGTCCAATATTGTAGTGCTCATTGCTAGTTAATACACATATAATGGCTCTTGGCCTATTGATTTTTCAGAAGACCTTTGGGTGTTTTAACAGATTTGACCCATGACCTTTAATAATGGTCAAGGCCATTTCTTTTCACAAACTCTTGTTATACGCATTGCAAGGAAGCTACTGGCATCCGTTTCTTCAGAAGAAGCTGTTCGATTGTTTTAATAAATTTGACCACTGTGACCTTGAACATAAAGATCAATGCCATTCCTATTCCAAACTCTGTAGTACATTTTACTCTTCAGTAGAACCCGTTCACATTATTAAACCAGGTGACCTTCAAAAAGGGTCAATGTCTTTGCCTTTCTATATTTTGTAGCATTCATTGCCAGCAATCCTCTGGTTGTATATCACGACTCTAGGCCCTGTTGGTGTTTCAAGTATTTTTTACCACGGGGACCATTTGGTTTGTAGAGCATTCTGGAATTTTGAATGTAATGAGAACTATGAACACATTATATGTGAATGCTATATTTTGTTCATATATATACAAAGTATTTGTACTCATGTTCATTAATCAATAATACTTCAATAATTTAGTGGTTTCACAATCTGGGATCCCTCCAGTACTTTCTGAGAAATAGGAATAACAAGAATTTTAAGGACGGATGGAATGACCGACCATGGATGCAGGGCGATTTGAATAGCCAACCATCATCAGATGGTGGGCTAAAATCAATGCCACTTGATCCCATCATTGCACATGGCTTTCATCAGACAAGAAAACATAACCTATTGTCAAGTTCTGTGACCTCCAGTTTTGGAATTGTAATTCTGGTAAATAACAAATGAAATCAACAGTACCCTAATAAATAATGGGTAGAACTTTGCTCACCTTTTAAAATTTAGACTTTGCCATTGTATAATAAATACTTTCACATAGTTTTATCAAAATCCAGTCATATTGGTAAAAGGAAATTTTGACAGCTGTTAAAATCAACATTATAATATTTCCAAGATTACTCAACATACTTATGAAATAATATGTTGTCCAAAGAAATGACATTATGCTGTTTGGATGGCAAAACTTATGAAAATGAAAAGGTGACTGGCTGTGACATCATGTCAGGAATAAAACAAAGCTAATTAAATATGGTAAGTGGTTCAACGTCTCTCTGTAACAAACAGAACACAAAACATTTGTAGATGTGTACTTGTTTAATATTACATACATGACAAAAATTAAAATGACAGTTTGTTCACAATGAAAATGAAGTGACCGTGCATCCAATCTGAATGTGAAGACTTTACTAAAACCTTCAAGTTTTAAAACTGGCATATCACAGCACCAGTACATGGTGAAATTGTTTATGATTGAAGGTGAAACACTGTTACCTCCACATTTCCTATCAGTTAATTAATGATTACATGTCAATACACCATGCACCATCACACTTAATCTGTCCATTAAAACTTTCCAAGGTTCAGTCTGAAGCACTCTTTGACCTTGACCTTGACCGCGAGCGAGATTTCGATTGATTCCTGTTTGCGACTTTTGCTGGACAAGGACTTCGACTCTTTGAGCGACTTCTGGATTTGGAGACTGGAGACCTGCTCTTGCTCCTAGAGGGACTTCTGGACTTAGATCTGCTGTTGGAATGACTCCTTCGTCTGCTGCTTCGCTTTCTGTCTCCACTTTGTGACCTTGACCTCCTCCTCCTGTCCCGGCTGTTACTCCTGCTCCTGGATCGTGACCTTGACTTTGATCTCCTCCTTCTCCTGTCTCGGGAACCACTCCTGGATCTACAGCCGATCACACATATTACAGAGATGATAACCAGTTTTCTATCTCAACTCATTTAAATATTCCTACTGAACTGAATTTACCTACTAAAGATCATGAGGGTTATTTTCCATACAATTTTTAGTAGGCATATGAATATGTCAGCAAATTAATGTGGGAATGGTCCAAATTACAGATAGAAGTTTACAATTGATATAACCCCATCTTTATGGTGTTTAAACATGGCAATCCACACAAAACAATTATTTACCTTACCATGATGACAAGTCCTATGTTGACTCAATCCTCTTCTGTTTTAATTTATGCGAGTAAAAATCCTGATGGGTCATGAGATAAATTTGAAATGAACTGCAAAGCAAACCAGTTCATAAAATTTGTCTCAAGACCAACCAAGATTTTTTATCCCATAAACCTCAACAGACCCAAGATTTAATCCTTACTCATTACAAGCAATGCTTTCTCTGCTTTAACCGACCTGGGGTCAAAGGAAAACATTATCATTGATATCAAATTTGTTTTCACATGAACAATCGGTCCTTGCCTCTAATTTAATTTTATCAATATGACTTAATAGTGTAATTAGCCTGTCTTTAAAAAAAAAATGTATGCTCAAGGCCAAGAACATTACATTTTTTTCTTGCTCATGATTATTACCTTCGTCTCCTCCGAGGAGAAGGTGACCTGTATCTACCACCTCCGCCGCCTCCACCTCCACCTCCCCTGCCACCTCGTCGGAACCCACCCCCACCTCCACCCCCATTATACCGGTCGTCGGGACAGTCTCTGGCCCAATGTCCTGAGCGGTGACAGCGATAACACTCATCATAACCCTTCAAAAGAGAATCATCATGACAGGATTCATCCTGGATATCCAGGGGTTACGCTCACTTTCGCTCTCTGCACCCGTTATATGTCGTAACAAAAGTGAAGGCTCAGTGTGCGCCACCTTGTTGATGAGACAAGACAAGTTTGATCCTTTGTTATACATTAAAAGAATCTCGCGGCCAGGTAACAGTAAAAGTTGACAGGTTTTGAAGCTGGCCCGTCTCTCCTTTGTACTCTTCAAAGGACAGGTATCGGCCTAGCGATTGGTCACCTGAGACCAATCAAACAGCTATCATTGTGCCTTAATTTTTGATGACATATTCCAGGGGTGTAGAGAGCAAAAGTGAGCATAACCCCTTGATATCGAGGATGGACAGGATTAGAGACAAACGACAAGAAAAAACATCTATAAAGTAAAATAAATAGAGACAAACGACAAGAAAAGACATCTATAAAGTAAAATAAATAAGGTAAACGAAGGAGTATCAACACCAGAATTATGTTACGCTTTATTGTCTACCGTCATCAGAATATCCTTGTGGAACCACCTCTGATTCCTGTACCACAGACCACAACCTGTAGGACGTTATCTCCATGCCGGATAATAGTGTTGGTTTACAAACATTTGTGATCCATTTTTTTATCTATTAATTTAAGTAAGTTAATCAACTCCTTCTTGCATAAAATTTACTTTTATACTATGGCTTCCTAAACAGGTTATTAATAACATTCTTATATAGATTTTTAGATAAAATTTGGAAATGTCTTTTATTTACTTACTTTGACCTGGCCTGGCTCACCTTTGCCCTAAAAATTAGTAGCCAAAATAGTATCCATGTTTGAATTTCAGTATTTCATTTTTTTTTAAACAGTGTTGTTATCTGGGACAAAGATACAGAGTTTCCCCAATTTTAAAAACTAATATAAATAGTCAATTTAGTAGCCACATCAAATTTTTAGTAGCCAATACAAAATAAAAGTAGCCAATGGCTACCGACAGCGCGAGCCCTGCCTGGTACTCTCTGGTATTATCAGTTATCATATGGAAACTAATATTCATGTAGTTTAGACAGTGTAGGTAACTGGGGCATCTTATTGCTCGAATTCAAACGCCTACCAAATCCCTGTAAACCAATATTTATTGTCAGGAACATGTTTTATGAATTGAAGTCTATTGTAATTCATATAGGCGAAAGGATTTAAACAATGACGAAGTGTTTATGTATAATGGTATTGCAATGGTTAAATGCAGGGGTTGACACTTAACACTTGTCCGCTAGTAGCTGTAAGGACTAGTGAATTACCTAACCTAACTGTCCTTTGGACTTGTGAAAAGTATGATAATAACATAAAAAGATTCCTTTTTGTAGTTTAGAAAACTGCTTAAAATAAGCTATATTGCATGATAATTGTTAATTTTCTAGAAACTTCACTATATTTTTATGGCAGTACTGTAGTCATTTGAAGTCCCCTACAGTTGATTTCTTTTGATGTTTCCAGCTGTAGATTGCGATGTTTCGTTACCAGGAAATCTTGGGACTAGTTACACTGATGGAGGACTTGTAAATAAACTAGTGCTGTGGACTACCAAGCAAAAAGAGTTAGTGTCTAACCCTGAAAGGTCTATGTAGAAGGTATTGTGGTGGACAAATGATGCCACTAACATCCATGAAGAAATGATCGAAATAAAGGAAGAAAAATAATGAGAAATATCTCAAGAATTTTTATGGGATTCATAGGAAAAGGAAATACTTAAATTTAACTTGATGGGACCCATTGTTTTAGGCAATACAGTTGAGAAGGACAATATTCTGACTGTTCCATATCATCCAGATGGGAACAAAAGCGTTGGGACTACTCAATAAATCTTGAAATATTCAATTTTAGATATATATTTTTTTTAAATTTCTGTATGGACTTACCCTGTTCATTATGGGTCGTCTGGAAGCTCCTTTTGCCAGTTCCACTATTATGCTAGAGCCTGCTACATCCCGTCCATTCTCATACTTAATTGCGTCCTGGAATAGTCAGTGAAAAGGTTGAACACCAATGCCTTCCAAATATCATCAAAATAACCCAACCTTTTTATTAATGCAACACTTGCATAGTTACATTTACATAATGAATTTTGGAAGTATTGAAATGTGCATATTCTAAGAGCAAAAGTTGAAAACAAACATGATGATCAGCAAAACTCGAGTCATCTCAAATTCCTGTTAAAATTTGTTTACAGTGACAAGACAACTTGTCAACAAAACGTACACAGGTTATCTCTAGACATAGTTACCATTGACAAACCACTTGAAAGAAGACTACAGAACAGAAATGCTGACAAGTGACATACTGTTGCAACACCATGGAATGGATCAGACTGATGGAATCAAGAGGTGCCAGGACGGACATTTGACCGGTCGGACATGGATGGTATTGGTCGGCCAGACTGACTGGAGACAAGATATAACTTGGCACACTGGTCAGTTGGTGAACCGAGGATTTGTGACTGAACTGACTGCCTGAAAGACTGACCGGCTCCGACTAATGGCAGGCGGACACTGGTATGGAACATGGTTTTTGGACTAAGGCTATCTGACTATGTGCGTTGGCACTCAGGCAATGGGGCTTTGCTTTGGCACACTCTGTACTGGTGGTCAGGCTAGGCTAGGCATGGCAGGGGTCGCTCTCTTGCTAGCGTTATACCCTAAATTATGCATTAATTTAATATTTATAATGAATATTATGGTGTTTTGTTTGCATATGCATACACATGCAACAATTTAACTATGATCAAAAAATAAATGAGTCACAGAGGTGTACAATTCCATGAAACAGATACCAAATAGATTTTATTCAGGACTTGTGATCCTTTTTCAATATCTGTTGTGAAAATAAAGATGGACTAGTAGAATTTTTCAAAATTTGCATGGGGCTAGGGCTAGTTATATATAAAATGGGAAATTGTACACCCCTGTTGTAATTAAATAATTACATAATCCTTGTAGTCAAAATTTTTGCATTGGACCACTTTATTTTTCTTATTATTATTGTCTTTTGTTGTTTTCATGATTATTTACATTAATATCCAATTAGTGAAGTTTTCTGATTATGAAGCTGGTTTTTCTTCTACATATTGAAACAATTGCTTACATGTACGTATTCCAAAGCAAGATTGAAATTTTCGCTACTCTTACTGCTGTTTAAACAAACCATAACTGAAGTATAAACATGAATCTATGTCAAATCAATTTTTCCAATATGATTCAACTTACTTCTGCATCCCGTTTATCCTCGAAATCAACAAAGGCATAAGCTGAAAATATAATAATAAATAGCTAAAGATATTTAAAAATTTGATTACTGAGAAACACATTTTTATTATATACATGCGCATATTTGAAATAAATATGATCAGAATGTTAAATGTACTGTAATTAAATCAGATGCAATACTAGAACGTTAACAACCAGTGAAACTCAAGCAAGTATCTTGTGAACTAAAGTACTATGATTTATTGCACAACCAGATAATTAATATTGCTTTCTTGCGGTAACCTTATTTTTTTTTGTAATTATAACCTTAGCTTGTACCACATATGTTACAGTAAGGATGTTTTCTGTAAATATTCCATAAAATGTTAAAAGTTGTCTTACCCATCTCGGCACCTGCAAAATTGTAAATGAATGTCAGGATTAGATTTTTTCATAAGTTAAGAAAACCAATTATAAAAAAAAAATACTTGATAAGAAAATCAACGATTTTCATATATCTAGCAGAAATTTTGAGTATATATATCAATAAGAGTCTTATTAATAACATATCCTCCGATGTCGCTTACTTAAGTAAGAATGTTTAAAGATATTTTCTGGCGATGCTTTCTTGACTGTACAGGTTTATAAACACATGTGCCACGCCGCCGATCGTACAAATTCAATTCAACATAACTCTGGTCAATCTTTCAAATATCATTATCAAATTGAAATTTGGTATAAAGGTGTATTATAGTCATATTAACAACATATCTTCTGATGTCGCTTACTTTATTTGGTATTTTTAAAGATTTTGTCTGGCGACGCTTGTTGTCACTTGAAGACGCTTTTACGGAGAACCGTTTGAAACGGTGAAAGAATTTGCTGATCCCGAGAAAACTTACCACGTACATTATTGATTACAGTGGAAACATAAAATAAAACAATTATTTATAATAATTTAAGATCTTTATTACAATAACAAAGATAAAATATTTCTTGATAAACAACGAATGAGCCTTCAATGTCCCCGGGATGAGATACTCAGCTCTGCATTTTGACGGAAATCCTACAGGATTCCCTCCACATGCATCTCGCACTCCGACATTCAAGTCGATATTTGCCAAAATGCTCTATTCAAACACGAAAAAACATCCACAAACACTTACCATATTTCACCTCACATCTTGTCATACGACCATAGGGCTCGAAAACATCTTCCAGATCACGAACTGTCGTCCTTTTATTCAATCTTCCAACAAAAAGCTGACCCTCGTTTCGACGCGACATTGTTCTCCTTTCCTTGTGGGTAACGCGTATCTTCTATTGGAGATTGATAAACGAAACGAAACAAAAACAAATATGTTAACACAACATTAATGGTAAGCCATTATTACTTAAAACATTAACATTATTGCAAAAATAGTTTTATAAGGTAGCTTTACAATGTTATAGAAACGTTATGACTATGAAGAGAGCGATTCAGTTGTAGGGTCATTATGTTCCGTATATTGTAACAACCTTATATTATAAAGCCCGGATGTAAAAATCGTCAGGCGCATTCGATCGTGACCAGTTGGGTGCATTCGATAACAAAAACGTGAGTTAATAAATAGAGGCATAGTAACACCATCTTTTTGATTTCATAAAACCGCTTTAACAGGGGTTGTTATAGGAGCCTGAAACGTCTAAAGTCTGGCGGGTAGTCAGATAAATGTTTTCTATTCTACAAACACTTTTCTATATGTATTTGTCCCTTTGAAAAAAAAATCGGTGATCAGTAGGCTATTTTCTAAAGCACCTTTCATCTAACCAAGAAATTAAATTGTTTTATAATTCCGTGATCAAACATACAGGATAGTCGATGATTTTTTTGTCTGTCAGGGAAAACATGACAAACAGATTTAATAACGAGACGGAAAAATAAATTAAAAAAAATAGGGAAAATGCCCCCCTCTTTTTTTCGCGAAAGCATCAAGTTGTAGCAAAAAATCTATAAATCGCTACTATGTGTTGTGACATAAAACAAGGTATATTTCGCAAAGAAATAAAGAAGCATCAATGAGGAATTTCTTTGCAAAATAATATCATAACATAATTTTTATTTCAAGATAGATATATATATATATTAAACGCAGTTTTTTCATGGCAATTTTCAGTGAATGAGCAACATGCTATATTATATAGTAGAAGTACATGTTTCTCTGTTCCACGTTATTTCTCCAGCATTGACACATAGATGTATGTACATGTATGTACATGTCAGAATGTCATTCGTTAACCCACCATTAACACATACGTGTTAGATTGTCTGCCCCTTATTGATATCACTTTATCACCCGTTGACTCTCGTTGAAACTATACACGTTAACACTGTTCTATGAATTCGGTAACAATGTCATTCATATTAACTCCTATATTGAAACAAACTTGTTACATTGTAACTCATTGATTATACGCAGAATGATTCGCAAAAGATTTAATGACATTGCAAAAATACAAATTTGTATTATCATTATTTGTCTTCACTGAAAATCGAACAGGCATGTCACTTTTGTGTCTGCAGTTATATTAAATTAATTATGAACTTTTGTCGCGGTTGATACGTTGTTATATGAACCTGGTCAATGTTACACCATCAGGTTGCGATTTTAGTCGATATCACTGTCAGAGGTCCATAAATAACAGCGTACGTATTCACAGACAAAAAAGTCCTTAATTTTTATATTACATAGCATGTCTTCAGATAACATGTTATATTATAAATCCAAATAGTTTTATCAGTGATTCTCTCTAAGCAATTTGGTAGTTTTTGAGAGAGAAAAAATGCTCATCAGATTCACTTGCTTACTTCCATTTTATAATTGAATCTTCCGACATATCTTAAGCATTCTGTTCAAAATTAAACAATGGCTGCAGCAACTCCCTGAAAGCATTGTCACGTGCATGTCATATCCACTTCACATGACTGTAATAACACGTGGGGTTTCCACAATATAGATGAAAAAACGACATACCATTTAATAAGGTTTAAATTTGAAATTTAATCAGAGGCCACTTTTAAACTTGACGGTTGGAAGATATTCTTGAAATTCCAAATTGTGTCCGTTGTGATTCTGTTCCGTACCACCACGGAATTAGAATATTTAGATCTAAGCCCGTGGTACAACTTGGAATTCGTGGGTGGCCACTCTCGTCGTTACTGTATAATTACTACATAGATAGGTCGTTACTGTATAATTATTAAATTTACTTCTATTTATATGTATATATGTATCATTATATACGGCATTTACGTCAATATGTATCTGAATTAAAAAAAAAATGCATTTGAATTTACGTTATTCAGTCCATTTAATATGTTGACTTGAGTGGTATAGATATCCAAGGAAAGTTGGTCGGTAGGGATTGGCCCAATCATTTGGAATCCCTGGGTACCCACCCGCGTCTTATTATTTATTTTCATCATTTTATTTTCATCATCTGTTTTCATGTAATAGATATTTATTGTATAAGTCTGTGCCTGGAATATAACGTATCCACCAGTTTAGATGTATTTGTTCAAATATGTTGTAAAGGTATAGCTACCTCATCCTCCTATGTATGTCATGTTATTGTTATTGATAATAATTGTATTATGTATGTGAACTTATGGGCCGTAAGGCCTAAAATAATAAAACAATTTGAATTTGAATTTGATTCTGTTCCGTACAGAGTCGAGGACCAACTGATTATCAAAACATGTAAATTAAAGTTAATTACGTACCCTGTACAATACAGGTAAATTAACTGAAATTTGAGTGACATGTGTCACTAATTGAAGGTGTTAATTACCTGTGGTCAAAGTCCACCAGGTTGACTATTACACTAATCCTGTTACATAATGTAATGGACGGTAGGAAATGAGTTAATTATTCTAAGCATATATGTAACGTCTTCAAAGGCTTTTGGGGTAATACAAGCTTCACAAATGATTCTTACCTTAAATATCATAAAGAACTGTACTTTATTTCTCTTTACAAAATTATAAATGTACAGAGAAAAAATATTTACAACAGTATACAATATCAAATGTAATATATATGGAGGATAAATTATGATACTTTTTTAAACAAAATTTTGATAAATTTGCATAAAACTCTTAATTTTTTTAACATTGTTTGTATTCATAAGTTCTGAGAACTTAACAATATTTGGCAGTACGTGCATATTCTGTTTTGGTAATCAACATTATTCCATCTTCCAGTTTCCACTATAAACTTATGATTACTAGGTCTAAATTTACACAATACAACTCGTTCATTTTCATTCAACAATTCTAGATAATTTTCAAAATTACAACTATATTTAGATGTTCTGTAACACACAGACTTAGAGGAATTAAACATTTCATTACTCCACTTTTGTAAAAACTGGTCATTTTATATTTGCTGTGTAATAAGTTTAACCAATAGAGGGTTGCTATGCTCCAAAGAATATAAATATTGCCGTGGAGATCTACATGTAATGGTAGTTCATCACATTATTATGAACATCAATCGAAACATCTTATACACTTGTTTTATACATCTTGGCGTAGTATTTAATACTAATGGTTCTTGGGGTGATCATGTTAAATATATTTATGATAAATCATGTAAAAGATTAAATATTCCACGTATGCTAAAACATAAAATTGATAGGAAATCTTTAGAATTCCTATCTCTCTCCTTCATTCGTCCTACTTTAGAATATGCCTCTTCTGTCTGGGGTAATTGTAATATTGGGGAAGAAAAACTACTGGAATCCGTTCAAATTGAAGCAATGAAAATTATAGCTGGCCTTAGAAGTGGTACATCTCATCAAAAATTATACTAGGAAACAGGTTTTGAAAAATTAAAAGATCGACGGAATAATAATAGATTTTTTAACATTCCTCATTCTAGAACTTGTATCTACAACTGTAGTTTCTTTCCTGATGTCATGCGCCTATGGAACAATCTCGATCATTCTGTCACTTCTTCTCTGACTCTCAATTCCTTCAAAAAGAAAATTAATAAAATTCAAACACCCCCCAGGACCATTTCTGAAGCTTTCATCACCTGTAATCCAAGAAAACTAAATATTGTATTGTGTCAATTACGTAATAACGCTAGCAATTTAAATTTTGAGAAATGCAATGATCACTTGATAGTTGACCCATCTTGCTCTTGTGGTGCATCTTGTGAAAATGCTGAACATTATTTCTTCTTATGTCCACTTTATATTAACTATAGACATTTCATAACCGACATCACTAATAATTTTGGATATTCATCTGTTGATCTACTTACATCTAGTAATGTTTATCTCTCTACTGATTTATTTATTCTTTCAAAAGTTCAGCAATACATTTCTGCTCCTCACAGATTTAATTAAAATTAGGACTGTTTTCATTGCCTCTTATACTTATATTTATTTACATGTATATGTATGTATATCTTTTTTTTTTAATTTTGAGTAAGGGCTCGTGTGTGTGTGTGTGTGTGAATGCTTATTTATTATGTGTATGTGAGGGTGTATGTGTGTTATGGTATGGTTGTAAGTGTATATGAGTGTGTCTCGTTGATCCATGTACTAAATTCATGCTTCTTGTCAATAAATACCGGATAGGAGAAGACTCATATAGGCTAAGCCTGTTGTCTTATCCAAATGTGCAATTTTTTGTCCAATAAAATTTGTTGAATTCAAATACACTTGTTATGTAAAAATCACACTTAAGTTATTAAGCGCCGTCCACATGTTACGGTATTTTCAATTCACTCCTTACGACATCAAGTACGCGATACTCCACTAGGAGAATGTACTTTAAAGAAGAAGAAAGAAGAAGATTGACCCTACGGTCATAATAATATATTAATAATTCGAGGTTATATACCGCTTTATCACAACCTAGTTCCTGGGTCGTCTCAAAGCCTTTCCAACTAGCCAATATCTTTCTCAATTCACTGGGGAGCATACAGCGCCGGTGCTGCCATTTCGGTGCTCACAGCTAGCATTCTACAATTCTAGCACTGCCCAACCACGTACTCATGTACAGCTGAGTAGACTGGAACAAGCTGAATAAAATATCTTGTTCAAAGATACAACACAGTGCCGTGCCGTGACTCGAACCCGCAACCCTCCGTACCTCCTTAGTCATCAAGTGATATCCCCCCCAATGATAGACAAACCTCTATAAGAAATGGCTAAGAAGACTTTTGTTTTCATTGATTGATAGGTTTTACGTCCTCTTCACTACCGAGTAGTTCGGTTATCCAGCAGACGAAGAAAAGGCGGAAAATTGAGTTGAAGGGATAAAAGTATGGAGTGAAGGGATATAAGAGGGAGACAGAGGAGAGAAGGAGCCGTCTGTCCTATATGTATTTACTGTATAAGTCTAATTTTTGTAAGACGGCTCCGAGGTCTAATGTTGCCTTATCCTAGCACTAGTCGTATAGCAACACCAAGTCTGGACCGGAAGTGAGGTAGAAAGCCGCCTATCATTAACACCAGCTCCTAACTATTTTATAAATTATGTTTGTATATATAATTTTAAGTCCTTCTAAATGTCTTAATAAAGAGACCCTAGTTCTAACGGCCGAAAATTTGGACTTAAGGTTACCCTATCCTCTGTGCCGGCGTTTACGCGCCTACTATTTTCCGAAAAACTCAGAGGGGCCTTTTTCGTGCGAGATTGGACAGTTCTCACACGGACCACCATTTATAGTCCCATCCGACGGACTTTGTGTTAGTTGTTAGAGGTTAGAGTCATGCAGGTGCTGTTTTTTTGTTGTCCGTTCATGTAATCCGCTCTTCGTCTTTCATCACTTAAAATAAAGCTGAATGAACTTTACCAATGTCCTCTTTCTTATAAACCTTATCTTGTCTTTCACCTGATCCTGTTCCTCTTTCCGACATTTATGATTTTATGTTATAGCGTGTTTATTAGTGAGGGTTTATATATGTTATTTGTCTATTTCATCCATCTATCTTGTTTCCTATAGCGGATATACTTAATTAACATGTTTTAGTTTTATTTGTATTTAAGAGTTGTTTAGTTGATATTTAACTATATATGGGGGTGGGGCACAGAGGAGGAGACCCCAGACCTCCTGGAATCTCAGTATATACCAATGTATGGGCGGACGAATAGTCCACCCTGGTATAGCCTCCCTGAGTATCCTTGGGACTTACAGGTTTTTTGGTTATGAACGTTTTTGACTGTGTTTTGTTTTTAATGTATTAGATACAAAATGTATATAGAACATGACATTTTAATTGTTTTGTTTTGAGAGTTGTTAAGTTACTATTCAGATATTGGGATTATCCCATGTTTTAACAATTATTTGTTTAGTTGATATTAAATGTGTGAGTGTGGGTATACAAGAAGACAGAATAAAACCGAACAAACAAACATAAATAAAGCAGCAGATATACCACCAGGCCTCCCCGGGGCTATAGCTATCTGGCTAAGAAGACCAGAACACCGCCTTAAAAACATCGGGGCGGGGGGGGGGGNGGGCACATATACAAGGTCGCCAAAACAACAAACCCATTTGGCGGTGTGTGAAGGCTGACAGACAAAGCAGAGTCTCCCAACAAACAGTTTCAGTCTGTTATCACAAAGGAGCTCTCTCTCTCCCCCCCCCCCCCCCCCCCCCCAATCCGGATATGCCATCTCTCACCCACCTTGAAGAGAATGGAGTGGGGAATCTGATCCGTGATGTAAGTGCCAGCTAGTAAAGCCAGTGGCCCTGATGGGATACCGAACCGAGTACTACAACAATGCTCAGCAGAAATAGCCCCAATCCTAGCTCATAACTTCCGACAATCCAGTGTTGATGGTGAACTCCAAAAAGATTGGAGAAGTGCCAACATAACTCCAATATTCAAGAAAGGTAACCGTCACCTACCGAATGACTACAGGCCAGTGTCAGCTGTAAACTGATTCAGCACTTCATTTATAGCCACCCCAGGAACCATCTCGAGGAACATAAGATCCTACAATATGACTTCAAGATCAAGACACACGTGTGTAACATCACCAGTATGTACAATAAGAAACTACAAGCTGACAGAGCAAACCTAGATTTCAGCAAAGCGTCTGATAAGGTTCCCCATACCAAACCCCTCTACAAATTAGAGGACTACGGTGTGAGCCCTGGCATCCTATGATGGATTAAAGTCTTCTTGACAACCAGGACACAGCCATTCCACATCAGTGAAAGTAGGCTCCGGTGTTACCCAGAGGACGGTATTCGGGCAAATACTTTTTCTCTGCCATATCAATTATTTGCCTGCTTGTGTAACATCCACCGTACGGCTTATTGCCGACGATTGTTTCTTATACCGTTCGATGTCGACAAGACCATCGATACTTCCAAAAGGACCTTATAGTTGTATTATAATGGCAAATATATTGTATAACAGTTGTATTTTACTGGTAAATATGATCTTTAAGAGTTGTATTTTACTTGTAAATGTGATGGAAAGGAGGTGTATTTTACTGGTAAATGTACTGTATAGGAGTTGTGTTTTATTGCAATCTGATTAAAATCATCTGTTACATGGCTCCGCCTGAACAAATATGGCGGCGGGAACTGACGTGTCTACGACGCCAAGGAAAACGTACCCATTGGGTAATAATTGCGTAGGCAACACCGCCATACAGTCTTTTCTTCTCTAATAAAGCTTCGAATATCTTTTTCTGTTCGGGTTTCAGATGATCAATCTCAAATAACTTCAGAACTTTCGCATCATTCTCATCAATGTCCGCCATATTTGTTACAACTCCAAGCGCCCTTTTGAAGGAAGGTCTCTGATTGGTCAGAATTTAATGAGTATTTATAAATATAAAGGTCACCTGAACGTGACCATGACCGCGACACACTCAGATGTTCACGCGTAGTACGAAGTTAACGAAGCCATGTAAAATATGATTTTAATCAGATTGGTTTTACTGGTAAATGTAATGTATAATAGTTGTATTTTACTAGTATATCATTAATGTAATGTATAACAGTTGTATTTAACTAGTATATCATTAATGTAATGTATACTAGTTGTGTTTTACTGGTTAATGTAATAACGCATAAGAGTTGTATTTTACTGGTATATACAATGTGCTATTTTGTTTTTGGCTAATTTTTAGCAGGCATTACGTCAGTTTTCACTTTCTACTTCTACTGACGCTTTGCGGTAACGTGCATTTATAAGATACGAATATACGAATACAAATCCTGCATTTGGAAAACAGTTACCGTTTAGAGTAACAATTTTATTACTGAAATAGGGGAATAAAGTGAAATAAAAAAAAACACAGTTCTTTTTAACAGTTGGGGCAAAAAAGGACATCATTCTTTCAACAAAATATAATAAATGACAATGAAGTACATTTGTTCACAAAAAGTTATCAATTATGATGTCTTATTGTTTTTGTGAAAAGACAAACCATATCACTTACTTAGTTCCAGGGCAGGATTATTAATATTGTCCTCGAAATCATTCATACCGATTTAGAGATAATGAAACTGAATTCAAAATATCAGTTAGAATGAAGAATATATCTTTCGATCCATGTGCGACATGTGTGTAAAGTGACGATTTGTTGCTAAAATATCAGTTTGAAGTGCGCTCCGGGCACGGGCCGCATATTTCCCGCATATTATAGAGGGCCGGAGTTCTGACGTTAATCGACGACAGACCGATATGCAAAAAGTCGATAAAACGTCAGAATAATTCGGACTACATATCAATGTGAAATGTATTAATATAAATGAAAAGTACCATTATATCTGCGAATAAGTAGGTCAATGTACAAGATATAGGGGGCATACACGCGTCTAGTTGATACTGAATTTATTTACAATGTAGCCCGTACACAACACTTTCAATCAAACGCTTATCCGCAAAAATACAGAGAAAATGTACCAAAACAAACATTTTCTTTTGAAGAGGTATTCTTTGATAACACTCGGTACCAAATCATCCTCGACATTCCATGGGCTCTCTTTCGTTCTCTACATCCGTGTAATATGTCATGACGAATAAGAAGGGTCTGTAAGCGTCACCTTGTCGGTGACACAAGTAGGCTAGTTTTATTTTTGATGTTCTTCAAATGAATCGCGCGGCAATAGAACGGTAAAATCGACCGGCTTTGAAATCAGATGTCGCTTCTCTATAATCTTAAAGTTACCAGTCTAAGTATCGATTGGTCGGTATGTTTTTTAAACACAAAACCGATCAAATAGCTACCCGCGAGCCTTTGATTTTGTCATGTCATTTTTATCAAATGGTGCGGAGAACGTAGGACAGCGTTACCTTTGGAATTTCAAAGATGTCATTTGAAATATCCTCGTCGAGAACACATTTATACGCCAGTATCATAAGTAATTAAGTCCGTTCTCGATTGGTTAACCGTAGTAATCCCGGACACGACATCCTTGCCTCCTGGCACCAGGAAAAGGTCTTTGATGGCCCGCCGGATCTGACGGTTCATGACGGCATACAATAGGGGGTTCACGAGACAATGTGCCCAGGCAACATACACAAATCCGATGTGTATTTTGGGGTCATACAGTGACGTGGTGGGGTCAATGATAGACATGATGGCGAATGGTAAATACATAAAACAGAACGAAGTTAACAGCATAATTACCAAGGACACCAGACGAATCTCCCGTTTCCGAGGCTTGTCGGCTGTACGTTTAGTGATCACAGATTTGCTCCGGGTTAAATTTACCTGTTGGTTTGTTTTAAACACTTTTGGTAGAATGCTTATATATCCAAAGATTATTAACGGAACAGTGGTGAGCAACGCAAATCCGACGAGAAATTTCCCAAAGCTGTCATTGGTTTTGAACGGATGGCACAAAAACCTGTAGCGGTCATATGACATACTTCCCCAAACATTTGTCGCAGGAAACACCATCAGTACCGGGTACACAATCCAGGAGACAGCTATCATGATCGCGATGTTTTTCTTCTTGTTATATATCTCTAAATATGTGCTGTACCGGACGATTAGGAAATATCGGTTGATAGCGACAAGATTGAGTCCCAATAATTCAGAAGCCGTGATCGAATACGTAATATATCCCATGAATTGACATAGCGCCAGGTTCACCTCTCCAGAATAGCTGAACGCCATGACGGCGATATACGGCAGACTTGACGCACAAACCAAGGCGTTGTTGATCACCAAATTAAGAACAAACAAAATCACATTTTGTCGATAGAGTTTCGCCTTTATGATGGCAATCAAGATGAGCGTATTGGCAATAAAACCCAAAGTCGCAATCAGTGGTGCCCCTACCTGATGAAGTGATCGTGTGGATATTTTCTCGTTCGATGTTGAGTTATCCAAACTACTTAAAACTGTCGTCTGCTCCATTTTTGTAACCGTATCCAAAGTAAACGATAAAGTTTAGTTCTGTTACATAAGACGTTGCTAATGTTAACTGCTTACAATTTGTCGTCTTATGCTGATGATTTCTACATGAAATTTGATACCAGCATAGGATTGATTTCTTGGAAATGTTTTAAGATTGTACTCTCAATACTAAGTATAAATTACAATGTAATTCATGTGATATTGAGTGGTGAACACTTAAAGGACCATCTGTTTAATTTCCGTGTTTTTCCTTGCCAATTAATGTTCATTTTAATACCATTCATAAGGCTTGTTTCAAAGTGTATCGTCTTTACATTGATGCGGATACTACTAGAGAAATGAAGTTAGTTTAATGCACAAGTTTCCGGACTCTACATCATACTCAAGCTAAGGAAAACTCTTCCTAGACCTGCAGCAGTCAGCAGTCAGCAGTCATTATCTTATGAAAATGTTCATGGTATGAGTGAAGAGTTAATACAATCGACTTGTACCTCAAAAGCTATAACTAGTCTTTTAGATTCTGTTATTGACAATGTGGTTATTATAGTGACGAAAACAAAGCTAATTTATTAAATGACTATTTTTGTAATATAACTCGTGTAGATGACAGAAATGCTGCGGTTCCCTTCATCGAGTCAAAAAGTCCAGTAGGTTCATTAGAGTTAATAATAATGAATAATTTTACAGATATTGAAGCTTGGTTAGGACTCGGGTGAGGATGGAATCAGTCACCATATGCTACGAAATACATCAGAAACCGTTTAATTGTGTTCCCCTTGAAATCATTTTTGGATTTGCGGCCCTTTGGGCTTGCAAGAAAAAATAAAGAACCGCCTTTATTTTCTTGTTTTTGAGTTATCCATCCGCAAAGATTCCGACAAAATGTTCAAAGTGGGTTTTCAAAATTTCATGAAAAACTGCGTGCGAAATACGTTTCTTATTCAAAGATTCTTCTTGACTTTAATAACAAATTCCAAACGTTAAAACAGCCATTCGTATTTATAATACGTGTAACTGGCGTTCAAAAATAAATGCCTCTATTTTCCAAGCTAGACTGCTCGCTGCGGATGAATGTAATGTTTTTGTTTTATTGAGAATCATGTTCTTTCTTTAGGTCAAGTCGAAGCTTCGCATTTCTCGGACTAGGGCTCCCGCTGTCGGTAGCCAAAGCGGCCACTGTTCAGCGCTCGCTAAATGAATGTTAGCAATTGCATTTGTTTAAGTTGTCAAGGCAATTAGTGTAAGCTTTAGACGACAGAAGATGCTTTTAATGGTGTAAAATCATGGACTTTTGTGTCAAACTTATATTGGATGGCCCATTGACGTTGCAAAAAAACAACTCTTTATCATACATTACATTTACCAGTAAAATACAACTTTTATACAACATTATTTGCTAGGAAAATACAACTCTATACATTACCTTCTCCAGTAAAATAGAACTCCTATACAATAGATTTACCAACAAAATACAACTCCTATACATTATATTCACCAGTAAAATAGAACTCCTGTGCATTATATTTACAAGTAAAATACCATTATCATGGAGGATATATACCAGGTAAAATATAGCTTATATGCTTTCCATTGAACAGTAAAATAAAACTACGATGTCCTAATTATTTATGGTGTTCTGGTGGTGTAATGGATGGCGGACTTGCCTTTTACCGTTCGGACGTGAAAAGGTATTGATTCACGTGGGATTTCTCCGGGTACTCTGGTTTCCTCCCACATTAAGACCCCCGCGCGCTAACAGCAGGGCTAACAAAATAAGTTGATAAGAGTGATTAATATAAGTTGAAATAATTGGTTTCATATTTATTTAATTTCAAATTTGTATGTCTTTATTGACCGTATAAACAAGAATGGGAATGCCGACTGCTTTAGTTTAAACATATTTTATAAATCAAAGATACAAAGGGATTAAATAACAAGTTGTTTCAACTTAATATAGTCCTCTCCCCAATAAGTATTGTTAAAATCATGTACATATATGTTCAGTAAAGAATAGAATTATAGGAGACTAATTTTGTACAGTGCTGGTGGGCGGATGGGTTTTGGGGAACGGGAGAAGGATTGGGGTGGGTTGGGGTGGGATGGGATGGGATGGGGTTGTTAACTACAAAGGAATCGCCTGAAGTGTGGATTGGGTCCGCGTTAGTAATAATTTATACAACTTTATAAGATGTAGCCTGGTAGAGCTTTTTGAAAATGAACGGAATCAATGTCACAAAGAAATCAGGCAAAACCATTAATAGCAATTTCATAAACACACACAAACAACACATACAAACAACGTACACACACAAAAGTATAAATAAATAAAATAAAATAAAATAAAAAAGTAAATAAACCTATTGCTGGATTTGATGTAATGATACACATGTCTAAATGTTTGTGTTGAGGTCGACCGAAAGTTGAGCATTACATGTACAAAACAAAAGTAGTTATATCAATATGTAGGGCATTCAAATTGTGTAGCATGCTGCGTCTTTCGCAGAAAAAAAGTAGGCACCCACAAAAAATGTGAAAGGCATTTTCACAGGGATGGCCACAGTTACAAACTGGACTATCAACCAGATTTACTCTATAAAGGTCATATTTAACTGGAGTACACTGAGGTCTAAGCTTTGTAATCAAAATGTTAAGTTTACGTTCACCAAAACATAAGTAGATTGATGGAGGAGATTGTACATTTGAGGTTAATAAGCTTTTAAAAGATTGTAAAGAAGTCAGTGATTGTACTGATAGGTCCAATTAAATCCAACTGCGACGAGTTGAAGGCATAAAAGATGAATTTGTTAGAAACAGCTTAAAAGGAGTTAATTTGTTGTGCAAAGTTGGAGTTTTCTGCGTTTTCATCTATTCGAAAGAGTTTCTAGACCAGTTTCAAAAAGTAAATCTTCAATTCGGGCATATGAAGGAAGTCCTGTTATTATACAAACAGCTTCTCCCCAGGGATTCTATAACATTTAGGTTTCATAATTTGTACAACAATCCCACAATTCACAAGCATATTCTAAAACTGGTAAAATAAATGTTTCATCATTTTTTAAAAGATTATCTTTATTCAATAAGTATTTTAGTCTTCGTAAGACGTTTACTTTTTCCATAGCTGAAGTATACATGTATAGTGCACATATCTGACTAACAAATTTGAACTATCAAATTCAAGATGGCTAGCTGTCGGCCATTTTGCATTTGAATTAAAAATTAAACCTAACTGTTTATGATGATCCGTCAAATTTAAAAACTCCCAATTAAATTCCAATTATAAATCTTCGTCATTTTGACAGAGTTTGAAACAAAAAAAGTTTTTCTCTGGATTGAATGTTACAAATCAAGATTGGGACCATGCATTAAGAGACTTGAGAACTCTATTCTAAACTGTTTGGATTTCTAGACATGAAGAGGATGATTTTAACAAAGAAGTGTCGTCTGTAAATAGACGAGCAGTTGATTTAAAAAACATCTGCAATATCATTTATATAGATTAGAAACAATAGAGGTCCTGTAATCGAACGCTGAGGAACGCATGCTTCACAGAAACCTAAATTGGAATACGAATTATTTATAGAGGCTCCCTGGTACCTCTAAAATAGGTAATTTTCAAACCATTGATAAAATTCACCTGAAATTCCATAGTATTTTAACTTAATCATCAAACCCTTATGCCAAACCCGATCAAAAGCCTTAGAAATATCGCAGAATACCATACATACATGTTTTCTTCTTCTTCTTGAGCAAAACAGATGTTATGATAAACATTGAGTTGATATACAGTACAAAAAACCCCAGACTGATGGTTATTAAACAGTAAAATTTCAATGAAATAATTATGCAAGCATTTGCAAATTACTCTTTCAATTTTTCCCCCGACTGTGGATAATACGGAAATTGGCTTGCAATTAGAGGGGGAATGCTTGTCACCTTTTTTAATAAGTGGCATAACTTTTACTGTTTTCCAAGAGTTTGGGTAAACACCTGACGATAAAAGATATATTCAAAATGCTTTCAAGGGGAACACAAACGGTTTCTTATGTATTTCGTAGCAAATGATGACTGATTACATCCTCACCCGAGGCCTTACCAAGCTTCAATATCTGTAAAATATCTCGTATTACATTATTATTGATTCTCATGGACCTAACCGTCTTGTCGGTCTTTGACTCTATGATAAAGGAATCGGAGTATTTCTGTCATCTACACGAGTTATATTACAAAATAGTCATTTCATAAAATAGCTTTGTCTTCGTCACTAGTAACCACATCGTCAGAAACAGGATCTACAAGAGTAGGTATTGATTGTGAGGTACCAGACGAGTGTATTAACCTTGTGATAAGTCCCCAATAAGCTTTTGGATCAGAGCACGAGTACTCTTCAATCATACCATGAACATTCATAAATTAATGATTGCTGACTGCTGCAGGTCTAGCAAGAGTTTCCGTAGCTTGTGTATGACTAAGAGTGCGGAAACATGCGCATGAAACTAATTTTATTACTGTAGTGGTTTCGGCGTCAATGTGAAGCGTACACTTTATAAACAACATTATAAATTGTATAAGAATAAACATGAATTAGCACGGACAGACACGGAAATTGAACAGATGGTCCTTTAAGTATTAAGTAATATCGTCAAGTACATTGTAGTTTATAATTAGTATTGAAAGTTGAGGAACAACTATACTCCTACGCTTAAATCAAATTGCATGAATGAAATCAACGGCAAGACACGACAAATTAACAAATGACATCAGCAACGTCAGTTGCAGCAGAACTAAGCATAACGATTTACTTTGGATACGGTTACAAAAATGGAGCAGACGACAGTTTTAGGTAGTTGGGATAACTCTAAATTCTAAAACTGGTAAAATAAATGTTTCATCATTGTTTTAAAGATTATCTCGATTCCATAAGTATTTTAGTCCTCGTAAGACGTTTACTTTTTTCATAACTGAAGTATACATGCATAGTGCACATATATGACTAACACACTTGAACTCTCAAATTCAAATGGCTGGCTGTCGGCCATTTTGCTCTTGAATACAAAATTACACCTAACTGTTTATGATGATCCGTCAAATTTAAAAAATCCCCATTAAATTCCAATTCTAAATCTTCATCAATTTCGACAGAGTTTGAATAAAAAAATACTTCAGTTTTTCTCTGTATTGAATGTTACTAATCAAGCTTGGGACCATGCATTAATAGACTTGAGAACTCTATTCAAAACTGTTTGGATTTTTAGGCACGAAGAGGATGATTTTAACAAAGAAGTGTCGTCTGTAAATAGACGAGCAGTTGATCAAAAAACATCTGCAATATCATTTATATAGATTAGAAACAAAAGAGGTCCTGTAATCGAACGCTGAGGAACGCCTGCGTCACAGAAACCATGATGGGAATACAAATTATTTATAAAGGCCTGCTGGTACCTCTAAAATAGGTAATTTTCCACCATTGATAAAATTCACCTGAAATTCCTTTTTTTTTTTTTTTTAACTTTATCATCAAACCCTTATGCCAAACCCGATCAAAAGCCTTTGAAATATCGCAGAATATCATACATAAATGTTTTCTTCTTCTTCTAGAGCAATACAGATGTTATGATAAACAATGAGTTGATATACAGTAGAACGACCAGGCAAAAAACCAGACTGATGCTTATTAAACAGTAAAATTTCAATGAAATAATTATGTAAGTATTTGAAAACTACTCTTTCAAACACTTTTCCAACTGTGGATATATATAGAAAATGGCCTGAAATTAGAGGGAGAATGTCGCTCACCTTTTTTAATCCATGGCATAACTTTGGCTGTTTTCCAAGAGTTTGGGTAAACACCTGACGATAAAGACATATTTAAAATGCTTTCAAGGGGAACACAAACGGTTTCTTATGTATTTCGTAGCAAATGATGACTGATTCCATCCTCACCCGAGGCCTTACCAAGCTTCAATATCTGTAAAATATCTCGTATTACATTATTATTGATTCTCATAGACCTAACCGTCTTGTCAGTCTTTGACTCTATGATAAAGGAATCGCAGTATCTCTGTAATCTACACGAGTTATTTTACAAAAATAGTCATTTCATAAAATAACTTTGTCTTCGTCACTAGTAACCACACTGTCAGAAACAGGATCTACAAGAGTAGGTATAGATTTTGAGGTACCAGACGAGTGTATTAACCTTGTGATAAGTCCCCAATAAGCTTTTGGATCAGAGCACGAGTACTCTCTAATCATACCATGAACATTCATAAATTAATGACTGCTGACTGCTGCAGGTCTAGCAAGAGTTTCCGTAACTTGTGTATGACTAAGAGTGCGGAAACTTGTGCATGGAACTTATTTTATTACTGTAGTGGTATCGGCGTCAATGTGAAGCGTACACTTTATAAACAACATTATATATATTGTATAAAAATAAACATGAATTAGCACGGACAGACACGGAAATTGAACAGATGGTCCTTTAAGTATTAAGAAATTAATAATCAATATCGTGAAGTACATTGCAGTTTATAATTAATATTGAAAGTTGAGGAAACAACTATACTCCTACGCTGAAATCAGATTGCATGAATGAAATCAACGGCAAGAAACGACAAATTAACAAATGACATCAGCAACGTCAGTTGCAGCAGAACTAAGCATAACGATTTACTTTGGATACGGTTACAAAAATGGAGCAGACGACAGTTTTAGGTAGTTGGGATAACTCAACATCGAAAGAGGAAATATCCACACGAACACTTCATCAGGTAGGGGCACCATTGGTTGCAACTTTAGGTTTCATTGCCAATACGCTTATCTTGATTGCCGTATTGAAGGCGAAACTCTATCGACAAAATGTGATATTATTTGTTCTTAATTTGGTGATAAACAACGCCTTGGTCTGTGCGACAAGTCTGCCGTATATCGCCGTCATGGCGTTCAGCTATTCTGGAGAGGTGAACCTGGCGCTATGCCAATTCATGGGATATATTACGTATTCTATCATAGCTTCTGAATTATTGGGACTCAATCTTGTCGCTATCAACCGATATTTCCTAATCGTCCGGTACAGGACATATTTAGAGATATATAATAAGAAGAAAAACATCGCGATCATGATAGCTCTCTCCTGGATTGTGTACCCGGTACTGATGGTGTTTCCTGCGACAAATGTTTGGGGAAGTATGTCATATGACCGCTACAAGTTTTTGTGCCATCCGTTCAAAGCCAATGACAGCTTTGGGAAATTTCTCGCCGGATTTGCGTTGCTCACCACTGTTCCGTTAATAATCTTTGGATATATAAGTATTCTACCAAAAGTGTTTAAAACCAACCAACAGGTGAATCTAACCCGGAGCAACGACAAGCCTCGGAAACGGGAGGTTCGTCTGGTGTCCCTGGTAATTGTACTGTTAAGTACATTCTGTTTTATGTATTTACCATTCGCCATCATGTCTATCATTGACCCCACCACGTCACTGTATGACCCCAAAATACACATCAGCTTTGTGTATGTTGCCTGGGCACATTGTCTCGTGAATCCGCTATTGTATGCTGTCATGAACCGTCAGATCCGGCGGGCCATCAAAGACCTTTTTCTGGTGCCAGGAGGCAAGAATGCCGTGTCCGGGATTACTACGGTTAACCATTCTAGAACGGACTTAACTACTAATGATACTGGCCTATGAATTTGTTCATAGTTCTCGACGAGGATATTTCAGGGGACATCTTTGAAATTCCAGAGGTAACGCTGTCGTACGTTCTCCGCACCATTTGGAAAAAAACTGTCATGAGGATACTCAGACTTGTAACTTTGAGATTAAGCGACATCCTATTTCAAAGCCGGTCGATTTTGCCGTTACGCTGCCGCGCGTTTCATTCGAAGTACATCAAAATAAAACTAGCCTTCTTGTGTCAACGACGAGGTGGCGCTTACAAACCCTTCTAATTCGTCATGACATATTACAAGGATGCAGAGAACGAAAGATAGCTCATGGAATGTCGAGAATGATTTGGTACCGAGTATTATCAAAGAAAACCTCTTTAAAAGAATCGTTTTGTTGTTGTAAATTTCATCCATATTTGTAGGATAAGCGTATGATTGACAGTGTTCTGTATGGGCTTCATTGTAAATAAATGTTGCTACAATTGGATCGTTGTTTGTCCCCTATATTTGTTGACTTACGTATCCGCAGATATACTAGTACCGTTCATATATATTAATACGTTTCATATTAATATGTTGAGTTGAGTTTCCATATCTCAAAATCTTTATAGATGATTTCGAGGATAATGTTTATACATAGCCGAAACGACAAGACAGCCCTAGAACTCAGTCAGTGATATGGTTTGTCATTCTCATAAAAAAAAGCATCAGAAAAGGTAATTGTTTTTCTGTTCAAATGTACTTCATTGCCATTTATGAGATTGTGTTGACGAAACTTATAAATGCACGTTACCCTTGAAGCGTCAGAAGAAGTTCAAAGTGAAGACTGCCGTAATGCCTGCTGAAAACTTGCCAAAAACAAAACTCTACATTGTAAATACCAGTAAAATACCACTCCTATACGATATATTTGGTAGTAAAATACCACTCCTATACGATATATTTGGTAGTAAAATACCACTCCTATACGATATATTTGGTAGTAAAATACAACTCCTATGCGATATATTTGGTAGTAAAATACAACTCCTATGCGATATATTTGGAAGTAAAATACAACTCCTATGCGATATATTTGGTAGTAAATACAACTCCTATACGATATATTTGGTAGTAAAATACCACTCCTATGCGATATATTTGGTAGTAAAATACCACTCCTATGCGATATATTTGGTAGTAAATACAACTCCTATGCGATATATTTGGTAGTAAAATACCACTCCTATGCGATATATTTGGTAGTAAAATACCACTCCTATGCGATATATTTGGTAGTAAAATACAACTCCTATACGATATATTTGGTAGTAAAATACAACTCCTATGCGATATATTTGGTAGTAAAATACCACTCCTATGCGATTTATTTGGTAGTAAAATACAACTCCTATACATTATTACATTTACCAGTAAAATACAACTCCTATACATTATTACATTTACCAGTAAAGTACAACTCTTATACATTTCATTTACCTGTAGAATACAACTATTTCACATTATATTTATCAGTGAAAAACAACTCTTATACATTATATTTACCAGTAAAATTCAATTATTTTACGTTATATTTTCCCGAAAATACAACTCTTATACATTATATTTATTAGTAAAAAAAAATCCTATTTAAACGAATCTGACGTTAAGTTCTATAACTTATGCTTAGTACTGAGCTACAAGTAAGCTAAGATTATATCAATATAATTATTTACATAATGCAAACCGTTCAGTGAAATGGTGTAATAATGATCTGGTATTGGACACAATCTCAGCAGATACCACTGTAGCTAACTGTTCCCCACTCACTGTTCAACGTCATATCCGTGACCTTAAACATCATGTTTGATTAGTAAAGCCCAGTACTTGGTCACATGTAATCTATATTTTCAAATACATATTTTCTAGTATATAATTATTTCCATGGTGAAATGGAGCTCTGATGTTAACTCCGTTATCAATAATGTTTTCATTCATTTTTGTACATATCAGATGTCTTATGTTATTATTATTTATATCTATGTCTTTTTCAATGAAATGCAGTGTTTTAATTGTATATTGTGATATATATGTATGTATGGTCAGCTTTGTGATCAACGTATTGGTCAATTAGGCCTTCTTGGGCGGTGCAAGCCACAATGCCTATAAGTCCTGACATGCATCGCTCAAGAATAGGCATATTTTATGACGTTGCGATATCAAAAGCAATGAAGATAACGAACAACGTTTCTTTAATACCATATAGGAAACTCCCCCTTGACAAAGTTATACTACATGTAGTATCTGAGCTAACAACATACATCCTAATATATATTTCCATGTTTTTGTTACATTGTGGTGATGTTGAATCAAATCCTGGCCCTTCAAACTCTACATGAACCAATTCATTTTTCTCTACTGATTCTAGTTCGTTCACCCTATTTCAAAAGACTCTTTCAATCATATAGTGAAGCTGATTGTAATTCACAATCCAAGGTAAGCAACTCGAGCTTGCATAACCATTATATGAAAGTTTCAGCGAATTTTGGTGGTTAATTGCGAAAGTGTGGAGCCACCTTAAAGCATCCTTGATATCCAGGGGTTACGCTCACTTTCGCTTTCTACGACCCTGGAATGTGTTATTGCAAAATTATGGATAAGTTACTAATATGCTGAGATTTCAGACTACCTGATTTCTCCCAAAATACCGTCAATAGTGTTTACATTGCGGTAATGATTATCACTCTATATTGTAAATAAGACTATTCATTCTTCAATATTAAATGAACTAAGTATTTGTATTTAAGTGTTTGTCATCTTCTTTCAACTTCCAAGATACTGGACAGGCGCGAATTTGAATTTATGTAACCCGCTCTGTTTCCCTATTTCTCCCATAAAGTGTTCACTAAAACATATTGGCCAGAAATACGGCGACGGGGTGGAAAACGTTACACATGGTTGAATCAAGAAATACGGCGTATGATATCTAAACGTAAAAAAAATCATAAAAAGGCTCAAGTAACTAATAAATCTTCAGACTAGTTAAAGTTCAGACGGACTCGTAATAAGTGTGTAAATATCATTAGACAGTCAAAAATTAAATATTATAACAAATTATCCACTAAATTAGTCGATCCTAGTAAATCCTGGTGGCAGACCGTAAAACTATTTATGCAAGATATGGGTTAATCTGATGAAATCCCAACTATTCTTTATGATAATTATTACTATGAGCATGATGTTGATAAAGCAAACGTGTTTAATGAATATTTTTCTTGTCAGTCCTCAGTTGATGACTCTTCAACTGAAATCCCTCCTCCCATAGAAATTCAAAATCAAAGTCTCCTAAAGGCAAATTCATATATCGAAAACTGATGTCCATGATGTTCTTTCTTACCTTGACTGAAGTAAAGTTGGACCTGATTTCATTAGTACCAAAATACTTATAGAGGCAGCCGTTCCTCTAAGCGAGCCGTTAGCGTATATTTTCAACAAATCATTATCTGTGGGAATTTTCCCGAGCTTGTGGGAAAAAAACAAATATTTTACCTGTTCACAAAAAAGATAGTCGAAACGATGTTAAAAACTACCGACCAATCTCATTACTTTGTATCTTATGAAAAGTATTTGAAAGGTGTGTGTATAAATACGTATAAAATTACCTTCTTGACTATCATATTCTCACTAATAATCAGTCAGGTTTTAGATCAGGGGACTCAACTGTCAACCAATTACTAGCATTTTAAACGATTTTAGGAACGCTTTAGACACAGGGATAGAAATTAGAGTTATTTTCTGTGACATCAGCAAGACCTTCGACCGAGTGTGGCATGAGGGTCTTTTGTATAAGTTTTCCCAAATATGTATCGCTGGGTCCCTTCTCAAATGGTCTAAAAGTTATTTAAGTGATCGAAATAAAAGAATTTAAATTAATGATGCACATTCTGACTGGGTTGAAGTCAAAGCAGGGGTTCCTCAAGGGTCAATTATCGGCCCTCTCCTATTTCTTATCTACATAAACGATATCGTTAACAACATAAGTTATATTATTAAATTATTTGCAGACGATACATCACCGCTCTTCAGGCAGATCTACAAAAACTAACAAACTGGTCGAAATTGTGGTTGGTAAGCTTCAGTCCTAAAAAAACCCGAAAGTATGTTAATTAGTAAAAAAAAAAAAAAGACCTTTTCACCAACCGTTGTACATGTAGTAATGAAGAAATAACAAATGTTGAAGTACACAAGCACCTAGGAGTATGTTTTTCGAATGACGGGAGTTGGGTCAAACATGTAAACTACATTATCAATAAAGCCTCAGCCAGAATCAATATTCTACGTTCTCTAAAATTCAAACTCGACAGAAACACATTACAGACTATTTACTTTTCATTTATCAGACCTATTATTGAATATGCTGACGTAGTGTGGAATAATATTACCGATGAATATAGTGCTAAACTGGAACAAATTAATACTGAGGCAGCTAGGATTGTATCTGGTGCAACCAAACTGACAATCATAGATAAACTGTATATAGAAGTAGGCTGGAACAAACTAATTGAACGTAGACATCAACACAAACTAATTATTTTCTGCAAAATGTTCTACAAAAATACCTCCCAATACCTCAACCGTCTCGTACCACAATCAGTCACTGGAATACATAGCCATAATACTATACATACGGATGTTACAACTATCGCTCCCATTCATTGTCATTCTAATGTGTACCAAAGATCTATCTTGTCCTCTGTTATCAATAGCTGGAACTCTATTCCAGTTAACGTCAGGAGAAACCCTTCCATTTATTCGTTTAAATCACATGATATTTAACGCAGCAACAATAAACATCCACCAAAACACTACTCATTTGACTCACGATTAGGACAAATATACCATGCTAGACTACGCATGTCAAGCAGCTCTCTTAATGAACATTTATAAAGGAAAACATTGTTCGATCCCCTCTATGCGCATGCGGTAGCATCGAAAACACTTCTCATTACCTGCTAGATTGTTCCTTATGTATTGCCATCAGACAACTACACATCGAAACCCTTCGGTACCTAATAACTGTCAAATTATTATTATATGGCGATAGATCGTTATCTTTAGAAGAAAACAAAATAGTTGTCGTCGCTGTTCGGGATTACATCCTTAAGTCAAACAGTTTTATGATGATATTGTTATTAATGTATACATACTGTTTCAAATAATTTAGGATTTTATTATCTTATGACGTCTTTGAATAAGATTCTTAATCAATGACTTTTTTATTCATGAAATAACATATATCATGTGTAAAGTAAGTCATGTGGATGGTCTTTCCCGATGCAAACAGTCTAGTGGAAACGGATATATCACGGGATGTGACGAACAATTGATCAGCAATAGTGTATGGAATGTGAACAGCCTATCGCAACGACTGTCTGCGTAGGGGAAAACATCCACATGATTAGCATAGAGTATGTTTTAGTTTAGCATTATACTGCAGCTTGTTTATGTACGATCTTACTTATATGCATATATATATACCTTTCTCGAAATAGCCCGAAAATCAACCATAAAGTGTATTAATGATGACGCAACAGAAGGATTTATCTTGACCACAATGTACTGATTTTATGAATATAACGTATTTTGTACTCTCTTCTAACTTCCCCTGTAATTTATTTACTTCACTATCCCTAAGCTATAGTTGTTAATGTTGGTTACGATAAAAGGTATCAGATTTATACAAGTGTATTAACACTTGTTTCTGTCTCCAAATCATTTATGTTTAATCATGCTTGTATTATGTATTACATATGTTAATGTGAATAAAACAGAAGTTTAAACTAACTCTTAAACATTACATTTACCAATAAAATGCAACTCTTATACATTACATTTACCAGTAATATACAACCCTTAAACATTTTATTTACCAGAAAATTACAACTCCAATACATTAAATGTGCTAGTAAATATAACACTAGTGCTTGTCATCTCATATTCGTATGACTATATTTACCTTATAAACAATTATGAGAATGCTGACTGCTGCAAGTCTAGCAATAGTTTTACTCAACTTGTGTATGACTAAGATACCGGAAACTTGCTCATGAAACTAATGTTAATACGGTACACTTTGTAAAAAGACTTATAAGTTGTATAAGTTGGCCCGCACAAACACGGAAATCTCACACTAGCTTTAAGTGTTCACCACTCAATATCACGTGTGACGTACATTGTAGTTTATTCTTAGTACTACAATCTTTCAAAAATTCCTAAGTAATCAATCAAAATCAAATTTTATGAATGAAATCATCAGCATCAGACGACAAATTGAAAGCAGTTAACAACAGCAACTTCTAATGCAGCAGAACTAAGCATTACCATTTACTTTGGGTACGGTTAACAATGGAGCAGACGACAGTTTTAAGTAGTTGGGATAACTCAACATCGAACGAGGAAATATCCACACGAACACTTCATCAGGTAGGGGCCACATTGATTGCGACTTTGGGTTTTATTGCCAATACGCTCATCTTGATTGCCATTTTGAAGGCGAAACTCTATCGACAAAATGTGATATTGTTTGTTCTCAATTTGGTGATAAACAACGCCTTGGTTTGTGTGACAAGTCTGCCGTATATCGCCGTCATGGCGTTCAGCTATTCTGGAGAGGTGAACCTGGCGCTATGTCAATTCATGGGATATATTACGTATTCGATCACGGCTTCTGAATTATTGGGACTCAATCTTGTCGCTATCAACCGATATTTCCTAATCGTCCGGTACAGCACATATTTAGAGATATATAACAAGAAGAAAAACATCGCGATCATGATAGCTGTCTCCTGGTTTGTGTACCCGATACTGATGGTGTTTCCTGCGACAAATGTTTGGGGAAGTCTGTCATATGATCGCTACAGGTTTTTCTGCCATCCATTCAAAGCCAATGACAGCTTTGGGAAATTTTTCGTCGGATTTGCGTTGCTCACCACTGTTCCGTTGATAATCTTTGGATATATAAGCATTCTACCAAAAGTGTTTAAAACCAACCAACAGGTGAATCAAACCCGGAGCAGATCTGTGATCACTAAAAGTACAGCCGACAGGCCTCGGAAACGGGATGTTCGTCTGGTGTCCCTGGTTATTGTACTGTTAAGTACATTCTGTTTTATGTATTTACCATTCGCCATCATGTCTATCATTGACCCCAACACGTCACTGTATGACCCTAAAATACATATCGGATTTCTGTACGTTGCCTGGGCACATTGTCTCGTGAACCCGTTATTGTATGCTGTCATGAACCGTCAGATCCGGCGGGCCACCAAAGACCTTTTCTTGGTACCAGGAGGCAAGGATGCCGTGTCCGGGATCACTATGGTTAACCATTCTAGAACGGACTTAGCTTCCAATGATACGGGCGTGTCGACGAGGATATGACAAAAGGCACACTGTTAGCTATTTAATTGGTTTCGTGTATAAAAAAAACGACCAATCACTACGTAGGCTGGTTACTGGACCTCGAAGACGACTGGCCCTCGGTGATAACAGAGAAGCGACATCCGATTTCAAAGCCGGTCGGTTTTGCCGTTACTCTGCCGCGCGATTCATTTGAAGAACATCAAAAATGAAACTAGCCTACTTGTGTCACCGACGCTTACAAACCCTGGAATTTCGAGGATGATTGGTCCCGAATATGATCAAAGGATACCTCTTCAAAAGAAACGTTTTGTTGTTGTTGTACATTTCATCTGTATATTTCGGATAAGCGTATGATTGACAGTGTTCTGTATGGGCTACAGTGTAAATAAATTCAGCTATAATTGGATCGGTGTTCGTCCCCAATATTTGTCGACCTACATATCGGCAGATGTACTAGTACCGTTAATATGTATATATATATATTAATACGTTTCACATTGGTACGTTGAATTTAGTTTCCTTATCTTAACGCTAAATTTCAAAATCTTCATGGATGATGTCGAGGACTTTTTATATATGGCTGAAACGATCAAACTTTCTAAACATAAACCCTTTCGGAATGAGTTAAATGTTTAAGGCAATGTCGTACAGATTCTAAAATCGAAAAAGATGATGACTATTTAAAATCAGTATACTTTTTTTTGTCATATTATGATTATATGCAAACTCTCCTAGTATATCCCACCTATTAATGTATTTGTATGAGAATGTATATAAAACAAATCTTCATCAGTTCATTTGTGTTTGCTTTGGTAAAAGCTGTTATATTGCGATATTGTAAACTAGGTTAATGCCGTAATTATTCTACTCTCCGTTAGACTTCGCTTCGAAATTACTTAACTATCAAAGAGCGCAGTATTGCGGAGTGAAATATAATAAGGTAGGTAATTCAGTCTATATGCTAGTGTGGCCATATAAGCTCCGATATGGCATACATCTCCAGCAATCGGGAACCGTCGGCACTTTCCGTAAACGAGAAAATTGTCCTCCTTTACAGAAAGTGCCGACGGATCCCGATAGACATCTCAAGATGTCGCTATACCTGTATAGTCTGTTTCTGTTTCCTGATCATTTGTTGGAAGTGGCTCAGGTTTAAGAATAAAAAATATTGCATTTGATATATTTTTGTGTGTTATATATGACGCATGTTTTAAAAATTTACAATTCTTCAGGAGAAAGTGTTGGGAAGTTGAGGAAACATTTGCCTAATCCATTTATTTTATGATATGCAAGAAAATAATCAATATACATGTAAATCCAAAATAAAGGAAGCACACATTTCAAATTAAGTTTGTCGACGCAGAAAGCGAAAAATACAATAAAAAACATATTGCAACAAATGAACATTGGGAAGACGGGTGACGCAGATACATTATCGCCTTTCACCAAGGCGGCCGGGGTTCGATTCCCCGATGGAACGTAAAAGTGCATGAGGTCACCTGCCCGACCACGTGGGATTTCTCCGGATATTCCGATTTCTTCTAACATTAAACCAACCGCGCGCTAACATCCAGGCCATTAAGAGTGATTAATATAAGTTGAAATAATTTGTTTCATAGTTGTTGTAAAATAAATAAAGTTTATAATAAATGAACATTTCAGTCCATTATGAAATCATTAGTAGTTTCTAAAGGTCACAATACTAACAATCGTTGTCTAAAATGGTCCAAAACGTAAGTAGAAATTTACTTTACAACGTTTAGCAACAACGGCAAGATCCAAAGTGACAATTCCAGAAAATATGGCCATTATGTTTGCTATTGATTGAGAAAATAGTGTCTGTGATTGTTGAACATATTTCGAATAATATTGTCATAAGTAAACGCCTTGTACTTTTGAAAATGATAACGGAACGGCAGATCCATCGGCATAGGAGGTTGCATATTCACAGCTACAGGGCCAAATTTGCTTTCAGACCTACAACCTGATTTCATAACGGAATTTAAAATAGTTTGGTCGAAGGTGAGGATGCAGAAAAAGGAAGACCTCTACTTAGCACCATTTCACATGCCACACCGTAACATCCTTGATATCAACATACTAAGTGACTTTTAATTCAACAAAGGACAAGCATGTGTTAGTCGCTGGAGACTTTAACTGCCCGGTCATTGACTGGGAGAAAATGTGTGTACAGAAAGAAGCAGCAGACAGAGAGAGACAGAGAGAGCCCAGCAAGCCCTTATTGATCTGTCAGTAGAACATGGCCTTACACAAATCCACACCCAGCCGACGAGGGAAAACAACATTCTGGACCTCGTGTTCACCAACAACCCATCAATCATTAAGTACTCGACATCCATCCCGGGGATAAGTGACAATGTCATGATAGTGACAGACATCAACCACATCCCACAGGCACGTCGAAGGTTCTTCCTCTTCCAAAGCCAACTGGACAGGCATCTACATGGATGCCACCAGAAAGAGGTCATCAACACAATCACACGGGAGCAAGTGCCATCTAAGATGTCCAGATCCAGAAAATCTATTCCCTGACTTTACCAAAAGATCTCAGCAGAAGAAAACAAGAAAGCCAGAATGTATACTCATGCCAAGAAGACCTGCAATTAGGAAAAGTATAAGACGTTCCAGAGAGAATGCAAGAAGGCCTTCAAGTATGCATATCTCAAGCATCCAGTACACAAACAGTATCATACAGACAGGCCTTGACGAAAACAACAAGCACTTCTGGCGTTACGTCAAGTCAAGAAGACAGGGCAAGACTGAAGTAGCACCCCTAAGATAGGACAACTGTTTAGTAACGGCAAGGACAAAGCGCAGATCCTCGTTGACCAGTTCCAGTCAGTCTTTACCATCGATGACAACAAGGACTTGCCTGATACCCAATGGAGATGCAAGAACAAGATCCCGCCCCTCCCGTAACATCTAACGGGATAAAGAAGCTACTAGAGACCATGTCCAAGGTCCCTATATGATCCCCAACACCATACTGAAGAAGGGTGCTCGTCGATCGTCTCCTGCACTTCGACGCATCTTCCAATGCTCGATCGACAGTGGCAAACTACCAGCTGACTGGCTTCATGCTAATGTAACACCTGTCTTTTAGAAGGGAGACAGTCACCAGTCAGTGAATTACAGACCGGTCTCACTCACTTGTGTATCCTGCAAGCTGCTTGAGCATATGATCTGCAAGCAGACTATTCTTGCGAGACGCAGCTAGTTATCACTGTCCATGACCTCATGAGGCAATATGACATTGTTGTCCAGATCGACATGGCCAATTTTGGAGCTTTTCGAAGGCCTTCGACACTGTCCCCCGTGACAAACTAATCCATAAGATAAACATGTAGGGGGTGGATGGGTCATTGAACTGGCTGAGAGACTTCCTAACAAGTCGCAGCATGAAGGTGTCGGTCGATGGTGAAGAGTCAAACTCAGTCCACTTGTACTTTGGAGTCCTACAGGGAACAGTTCTCGGCCCGATACTGTTCCTGCGTCATATCAACAACCTTCCGAACTCGGTCAATTCTACAGTTCATCTCTTTGCCGACGACTGCCTACTATACAGGTGCATCCAGAACATAAAAGATCACCTACAACTCCAAAAGGACATGGCTGACTTGGAGAGATGAGATAAACATTAGGTATGCGTTTCAATGTCAAGAAGTGCTACACTAAGAGCATCATCTGCCAGTCACAACACTTCTATCAGCTTGACAACCACATCCTACAGCAAGGGCAGGAATCCCAATATCTCGGAGTCACCTTTCAGACGATCTTAGATTTGGTCCACACATCACCGAGATAGTAAAGAAGGCTAACTCCACTCTAAGGTTTATGCGGCGGAACCTAAAACACTGTCAAGCTACATGTCGAAAAATAGCATTCCTCGCACTAGTTCGATGCTCCAGGACCTGGGCCTGCCCCCATTTCAAGAGAAAGAAGCAGAACAGACTGGTGTTCTTCTATAAGTGGTCGAGTGGCTGGTGCCAGCCATGCACTGTCAGGATTATTTAACACCAATCTGAAGGAAACGGAACATTAGAGCCAAATTGTTTACAGAGTGTCTCGTAAAATAACATTATCAAAAACCAGTAAACCAACAACTCCAGGTGTTTTAAAACTGCAAACTCATTCTTTCCCAGAAAGCCCATCGACTGGAACCAGCTTCCAGACAACGTTGTGATTGCAGAGTTACTCGAGGGCATTAAATTAGCCTTGCAACTTCATGACTAAGCGCCACTAGCATTCTCTCTCCCGATGCGTGTATCCTACATCGTACAGATCGAGATCGAGATTCTGATATACGACTGAATAGCATTGCACAGCACGCAAATCACGATATTTAAATTGTCCATGAAATGTTAACCAGCAGCCAATAAAGCTTATATACAGTAAAATTGTCATAAAAGGATCATAGCGTGAGAACTGCCTACATAAAAAGTACTTTGCATTGCATGACAGTTTCTTTTTTTTTGTTTTCCCAAAAGAATCCCGTTTTGGGTACATTGTGTTAAGCATTGTAATGTCTCTGGCTAGACACCATCTGTACCTCAATACAAGACAAAAACACAACATGGTATCACAGTCACTTTATTGACTTATATATCAAACACATGTAACAGGAAAGACCTTATTGATCAGGTCAATATTTCTACTTGGGAGACTTTGGTATAAGGAACAAATAAGGGACTAGTAATCTTCACCAAAGTGTGAGGGAGATTCCCTACATGGGGATTGGGACTGGTTATCCCTACTTAGAAATAAGGTTGAGGGTGTGATTCATTCCACAGGCCTGGGATTGGGCTATATCTACTCGGGAGTGAGGTGGGATTTCTTACATGGGGGTGGGTAGCGGTGGAGGGGTTCTGTTCCTGTGAAAGAGGGGGATTTTCTTCCACAGGAGTAAGGATGGGTTGGTTATCCCGGCTGAACGTTAAGCGGGAATCCCTTTCACAGGTTGAGGATGGGTTATTCCTACCAAGGAGTGGGGCAGAAATCCTTGCAAAGGTGCAGGGACAGGCTATCCTTACTTAAGGGCGAGGTGGGATCCTTAACCAAGGGTAGGGACAGGCCATCCCTTTTAGGGAGTGAAGGGGTATTTCTTACAAGGGAGTTGGGACATACCATTCCTACCTGGGATATAGGGAGAATGATTACCCTGGGTGGGGAGATATCTGCCTATATATAATGTATAGGATGTTTTCCCTCTACAGGCCAGGGTTGGATTTCCGTTGTTCTAAGAAAGCTTCAGGTATATCATGTCGAACACACCCCATCATACACAAGTACTACAGTAAATCAGTGATCATACTTCACATGGTGTACATCATGTCTACTCTAGGATGATGAAATACAGTCGGACCTACCCATACTATACTCCTTATATATCATGGTACAGTCAGACCTACCCATACTATACTCCTTATTTATCATGGTACAGACAGTCCCACCCTTACTTTACTCCTTATATATCATGGTACAGCCAACCACACCCTTACTATACTCCTTATTTATCATAGTACAGCCAGTCCCATCCTTAATTACTCATAGAGTATCAGACAGTCAGCCCCATCATACTATACTCCTTATATATCATGGTACAGTCAGACCTACCCATACTATACTCCTTATATATCATAGTACAGCCAGCCCCACCCTTACTATACTCCTTATATATCATAGTACAGCCAGCCCCACCCTTAATTACTCATAGAGTATCAGACAGTCAGCCCCATCATACTATACTCTTTATATATCATGGTACAGACAGCCCTACCCTTAACTTATGCATTGAGTATTGGAGTACATATTGGAGCCCCATCCTTGCTGTATTCAGTCAGCCCTGTCCTTTCAGTACTCGTTACATATTGGAGTACAGTCAGCCCCACCCTTTCTGTATTCAGTCAGCCCTGTCCTTTCAGTACTGTCCTTTCAAAATATTGGAAAACTGCCAGCCCCTCCTTCTCTATACTCAGTCAGCCCCACCCTTTCAGTACTCGTAACAAAGTACTGTCACCCCACCCATTCTATACTCCTAATAGATCGGAGTACAGTCAGCCCCACCCTTTCTGTATTCAGTCAGCCCTGTCCTTTCAGTACTGTCCTTTCAATATTGGAAAACCGCCAGCCCCTCCTTTTCTATACTCAGTCAGCCCCACCCTTTCAGTACTCGTAACAAAGTACTGTCACCCCACCCATATTATACTCATAATAGATCGGAATACGATCAGCCTCACCCCTACCGTATTCATTACAAGTTCAACCTTAACAACATGATAACAAAGATTGTGTTTGACATAACTTTACACATCCATAAACAATGATAAATTCATAATCAACACATACACTGATACATGTATTGTATCCTTCTATATAAATTCACACAATTATATACCTCGCTCTTGCTCTTCAGAGATCTAAGTTGATATCATGACTTCACACAATGTGTCTGGATAACACATAACATGATATTTTATTGTATGACATGACTTTGTCATGTATTAGAATGACAGCTCCACACACA